TCGATTCTCTCAATAATTAGGCTATTATGGAAAGGACGTTTGCGTATCAACGGTAGGCTACATTTACACAACAACGATGTACTAAAAATGGAAATGTTTTTCCTTTGCTTTTCTCGTGCCTACAGACGACATGTAGGCTATCGCTTTCAAAACGATCCACGTTTACACGGATCCGTGGAAACTATTAAAAATGCTGTTTCATGCCAGGCCAGTCGCTGGCGATGTCACTTTGAAAAAAAAAAAAAACACTACATCAATGCTAATAAGGGACCGTTTACACGACACCATTTTGCATTTTTAACAAAAAAAAACGTTTTGGTCGTTCATTTACACGACAGCAGTGTTTTGGTGGCCTGAAAACGCAAGCTTTTGAAAATGGGATTCAAAGTGCAAGTTTTTGAAAACGATATCATTATCGTCTCAGTGTAAACTACAAAAACACAAATCGTTAACGTCATGCACATTACGTATTCAGTCTATAGGCGCGCAGTGTTTTTTTTTTTTTTTACAAAGTAACATCGCCAATTACTGGCCAGGAATGAATAATACAGCGTTTTTTGTCGTTTTCGCGCATCCGTGTGAACAGGGATCGTTTTGACAACGTTGTCGTCTGTACGTGAAAAGCGCAAAGGAAAAACTTTTCCGTTTTTAGTATCGCTGTCGTGTAAACGTACAACGCAATATAACTTTATTTAGGTCGACATCCTGTTATTATGAATCATTTACATTTTTTATACAATTGTATTACTAATGCAATACATTTTCTTAAAAGGTTTAAAAATAGATCATTAATGCAGAGGCAATGCGACAGGGATGCAAGCACAGTTCTTGAGGGTTAGTGTTTTTTGACTGCTGAAGCATAAATGTGTCTCAGTGTGAGGAATATGGGTCTGTGGTTCTGTTCCACGTCTGCAGAGAAAGTTTGTGTCTTCAGAGTGACAGAATAGTGCTTGGCCAGCAGAAAGGCGCAGCGGCGTTCTGTGTGAAATGCAACTCAGCAGAGCATCGCTGCAGGTCTGGAAACGAGGGGAAAATATATCGGGAGAAGCTTATCGCAGTGACAGGGTCGTTTGTCTGCTGGAAAGTCTGGCTGTCTCTCTCCTTCTCGCTTTCTCTCACACACATAAAACATTGCACTCAGAGCAGGTGATGAGCTCAGCTCAGAGTTTCTGTGGCCTTGAGCTTCTTGCCTGTGTCTCGGCTCCTTCAACAGATGGAGCCGGTGTGGGAATGGCTGGGTTGGATAATCAAATTTTGGTCCTGAAAATCAGTCCATTTACTATAGAAGTAAGAGTATGTGTGAGAAGTAGCATTTGGTGGTGTATATTGACTCTTGGAACTACTATAATTTTTATATATAATATAGCCTAATAGGCCGATATGAGGAACATACTAAAATAGAATAAAATAGTGCATAACTAAATTAACTAGTTTCAGACAGTCAGTCTGTGTTGGTGGGGATTTTATATTGATTCTTTCCACAGGTTACATTGTTATGCCAGTAGGTGGCGACAAGTGATTGTATTTTTGTTTGAATTAATGAATGTTCGATTTGTTCAAAACACTGATTCAACAAAACAAAAGACCATCTGCCTGAGTGAGTCATTGAATCATTCAGTCAAAAGTTTTATTCAAAAACACTGGTTGGATCAGTAAGGAAGCAATAGGTGTGTACGACTTAAAGAGGCGCTGCGCAGACCGATCGATGTATGACATCAAAGTGCAGTAAGAACGATTAGAGAGCAGACGGCTCTGTATGCTTTCAAACCACTCTCGCGATACTCTGATATCATACACTGATCAGTCTGCGCAGCAGCGCTTCAAATCAAACACATTTAGGCTGAGCCAGAAATCTTAAAAATGCTGCCTTCGGAGGTTTAAAGGGTCAGTTCACCCAAAAATTCTGTCAGAAATTACTGACCTTCATGTTGTTCCAACCCCGTAAGACTTTTGTTCATCATTGGAACACAAATTAAGATATTTTTGATTAAATCTGAGAGCTGTCTCACTCCTCCATAGGCTTCTATTGTAATTTAAACTTGCTGGCCCAGAAAGTTATTAAAGACATCGTTAAAATAGTCCAAGTGACTACAAGTTTATCAAGCAACGAGAATACTTTTTGTGCGCAAAACCCCCCCAAAATAATGACTTTATTCAACTATTCATTTTCTTCTGTGTGGGCCTCTGAGCGAGTTCACGTAGTGTAACAGCGCAACGCTTCTGGGTTGTACGTCAGAACGTAGGCTCACTATTGGCCACCATCACATGCATCACACACGACCAGCGTCGGCCAGCCCAATAGTGAGCCTACGTTCTGACGTACAACCCAGAAGCGCTGCGCTGTTACACTACGTGAACTCACTCACTCATTTTTGGGTGAACTAACCCTTTAATTCCAAGGTAGGAAGGCATCAAGACACGTCTGAATCCAACTTTAGCTTCACTTCCTGTCTACTGAGATACCTTCATCTGATCGATTTTTGAAGGCATCATAGATGTATCCTTCACTGCCTTTGATATCCCACAATGCTTGACATTCTGTGACAGTTGAGCTAAAAAATAAAGATGGCGTCTGAAAGTTGCTGTTGGTGGTAAGTTTGTGTAAATGTACATTTTTGACCAACGTTTTTGACTTCTGATGTCATTTCTTGCAAGAAATTAGTATTGTAGTAATTAAGTATTCACTTAGTTATCACCAAAGTCACCAAACTTTTTTATTGTAGACCATTAAACTGTTACGGTGCCTCAGAAGTCTGTCTGAAATGAGTTTTGTGAGGAACCTTCATGCGCAAACGCTGCCTACAAAGTCATTACCTGATAATGTCAAACTAAAGAAACTAAACAAAGACAAAGTCAACTGACTTATTCAAAACACAGACATATTTAGGAACAAAACAAACGAGTGAGTCATTGAATCATTCATTCAAATGATTCATTTAAATCACTGACGTATTTAGGAACAAATCATCAGTAGTTTTTGTTTGCAAAACAAAAAATTTAATCTTATTCTATAACTTTATTGGCCTACTTAATGAACTCTTGTATAAAAGGCAGTATGTTTTGTTAGAAGACTTAATTTTTGCATCAGGATTGACTGGTGAAAATGTCAAGAGAGGTGGCAGATGGGGTAGGATGGGACACTGGGAGCAGACAGCTGTGCCAATCGATCTGCACTGGAGAGAGTAGCCTACCTTAGTAAAAAAAAAAAAAAAAAAAACTTACAGATTGTCAGCTTGTGTAGACTGAGCCAAGATGATCTCAATTTGTGTAATCCAAGACAGCATCTTAGTTTCGGGCCAGATCCGGCCCACATCTGGTACATGTGGATTCCACACGTACCAGATGTGGCCGGATCTGGGCCGACTCTATGTTGCTGTCTGGGACGCTTCTTAGTGTTTACCAACATCTAAATGTAGATTATACAGTTTTATTAGGTTAAGAATTAAATTAAAATAGCAAAGAGCATCTGCTCTTTGTTGTATTTAAAATATGAATTACATTTTACTGCCTACTCATCACTAACTCCGCCCTGTTTTTATTTCCTTTAGCTGAATGCAGAGAGCGTGACGTCTGCCCTGTTGCTGTCCATCAGCCTGGTGTCCATTATTCTGTTGTTGGTTCTTTTCGGCGTGGCCACAGCTTTGGTCATGACAGTGAACCGACGGGCCACTCGAGGCACCTACAGCCCCAGTCGGCAGGAGAAGGAAGGTTCAAGAGTGGAAATGTGGAACATTGTGCAACCTCCACCGATGGAGAGACTCATCTGAGCCAATCAACCAATGATCGGCCAATCATGTTGTTCGTGGCTTGTTGGCTTTAGAAGACGAAGAAAAAAGGCTTCTTTATTCATTGATCATGTGGCAGCTCTCATCAGCTAGATAACAGTAATACAAATGACCATTTTTGATTGGACAATCTTTCGTTTAATTTATAATATTTTGTGACGAACACTTATCATTGATATTTACCTCTGAAAAGCGTTAGGATTAATTGATTGGTGAATTGTAAAGTGTTTAAAATAATAGTAACTTGAACATCCAATGCTGCTCAACAATCACGGCTACGGTAGTTAGAACATATTTAATAGAGTTCAGACCAATTGGATTTCATGGAAGAAACGGCTTCGTTTTTGCATCGCGCCTGGTCAGGACGTTTCAAGGTTTTCTATTTGTGTGTTCGTGCTGCCAGCGAGCTGTAAAAGTGACATTTGCGAGAGAGAAAAAACCCTAAAGGCCTGTTCACACCATGGACGATAATGTAATAATGTATAATGATAATGATATAGTTCCAATTATAAAATAGCAGCGAAACAATATCGTTGATAAAAAATGATAAAAACATTTAAATCCAATCAGAATCCTTTCTGCTTTAAAGAGCTCGAGCATTTAAAGCGACAGACGACAAATCTGCAGCGCGCGCTTAGAATAAACAGAGTGTTATCGTTCATTGGTGTTGACGCTTATATATTTATTATCGTTATAGTTATAGTTCTTGGTGTGTACAGGCCTTAAGACTTCTACGCGAGTCATTTTTGGGCATGCACGGAAAACTTGCTCGTGCAATATTTCACGCAGTCACAATGCTGTTTCCGATTTATGTATATGTTTTACCGTGCGCTCTCGGGTGTATGCAAAAGTCTCAGGATTTTTTTTGTCTTGCAAATGTTATAACTTAAGCTGTGTAATAAAAATTGAGTAGTAAAATTGCAAGTAAATTTGATTTTAGCCAAACATTTTATAAATTGACAACATGGTAACTTAAACATGGACTTGTAATAATTTGCTGCTCTTGTTCGGTAAACTGCGAAGAAATCGTTCAATATTAAATGAACAGCAAATGGTCACCTGCTTAATGTATTTAAAAAATGATCAATACTTTAATATCTGATTTAGTGGTTTTCCCTTCCCAATATACCCTTAGAATCACTTATTTAAATTCAAAAGCCACAGTCAGAAATATCACAACAGTGGTCAAATGAAGAGTGAATCTACCCAGGTGAGTTGTATGGACATATATAATTTATTTCAGTTCACAGTGCATACAGTGGTACCAGTAGTTCCTGTAACAACACACCAGACTGAGCCAATTTGCACTTGAAAACCATATAACTGCAGTGAGAGCATGCGGAAGAGTTCTACCATCCAGCTTCATTCACTCAAAAGCACTTCAACCACCACAAACTAAACTGATCACATGGTCATTCCAAATGTACATACCAGGAAACATTCAAGAAAATGAAGCACGAATGGTGTGTCTATCATTATGTTGAATAAAATCAGCTGTACAGACTTTTTGTGTGACAAAAACATGTTGCGTTGTGTGGAACATTCAAAAGCACAGTCTGGAGAGTCCAGTGATTCAGCTACAGCAGCTCATTACTCAATTTACAAAAGAATTCAACAGCAAAACAGATGGAAAATGAAGAACGTCACAATACTACGAAGCAAAAACGTAAATAGTACCATGGTCATAAAAGTTGACATCATATTACTTTATTGACTAAAAGAAGTACGCTCATGCATCTTAAAAGAATTCCCAGCACTACCAAAAAAATACTACAGAACTTTACAACGAAAATGCACATCAATAACACGAGCATATGTAAACAGGAAAGAAGAAAAGATTTGGGGTAGCATGTTCTTCAATTTATGTGCTTACTATCCAGTTTCAAGTAGTGTTTAATTTTAAACAGCTGGTGAACAGTAACTGGTTCAAATGTATCGTAACCAAGCGAAATTGCAAAAACAATGATGCTTCTCATACAGTTTTCCCAAAAGATTACACACTTCAGCTTTAAAATCAACACTTGGTAGTTTCAATGCTGCAACATGAACTGTGACCAAATTTCAAATAATGCTAAATAACATTACAATTCATTTTACTTTCTCTACTTTAATAACAAGAAAAACACATGTAAATTAGTATAGAAAAGGGGTTAATTACCTTCTATCTATTCTGAATTTTCAGTCATTACCAAAGACAAATATCAAGAAGTCATCATAATACAGAGCACATGAATGACAACAATAAACCAAACCATACATGTTTTTCAAATACACAGTATCAAAAAGTAATAACGACAATAAAAATACGCACTGGAAGCAAATGTAAAACTGATCACATGGCCATTCTGAGATACTTCGGCTGAGGTCCTGTGTGCTTGATTGGTATCGAACAGGCTGATGGTCTTTCTTACATTAACCATATACCAAATAAACAGGTTATTAGGCAAAAAAAAAAAAAAAAAAAAAAAAAAAAAAGTTCTGACATTCTACTAAGTATTTCAGGTTTTGGTTCGTATACCAATATTTTAGAAACCATTAAAAAGTAAAAATACTAAAGTACCTGTGATAAATATGAGCTCTTGTCCAAACCCTAACAAGTCGTCTACCTAGACAGCATCACGTGTATCAAGGTGCGGTCACATTTAACATTGTTCAGTGAATTTTATTTTATTTTTTAAAGAGAAATCCAGTCCTTTCCAAAGAAATCCACGCATTCAGGAATTTCACATGAGGGCAGAAAAAGTTCCCGTATGCAGATTCAAGGTTCAAGTCGGTCGTGTGGATCCGCAGCGTTGACCAACAGAAAGCTGCTTGGTTTGAAAGTGCACTAGCACTAACACTATCAACAATAGACCATTTTTGCCAGCAAAATCTTGCCAATGTGACCACACCAATAAAAAAGTTGCTGTCTGCGTAGAGTGTCAGGTATGAGATTCCATTTATGAGTTAGAAGGAAGCAGCTACTCAAGCAGATGAACTCAGTTAAGGCACAACCTTGTATTTAAATAGAGGATTGGGGTCAATTTCTTTTCAGAAGTTCCCTAAAGTTGCTGATTGTTAAAAATAGTACACGCAAATGCGATCTTCCCATTTACAGGATAATACCTTTGAGCCAGCAAAAACTATTAGCATTTTAAAGTGAAAAGAATAGCTATTTTAAGTTGAAACTACTTTGCATTATTATTATTTTTATTTACGTACCATAAGTTTTGATAGTTACATCAACTACATGTCCTGCATGTCATGTGGGGATTGAACAAAAACAGACATGGACTAATAGCCACAAAATGGCGATACAAGTTGCTTGATAACTCTGATTGGGATTTGCATAGTTCATCAGGACGTCTGATTTGTTCAAAGGCCGAAGGATTTATCGTTTCTGGGCTAAACCGCTACGTTGAAAGCCTAGCTTGATTCGAGACAGGGGTCCTAAAACTCCGAATGCTTTTACCCTCACATCTTTACCACAGCAGATTACGCAGGAGGGGTGAGGAGAGTCATTAAAGTGTCAGACAGAATGGCACGTGTCCTAAATCATCCTGCTCAACAGCCACTAAAGAAACAAGTGCTGGATCTAATGACCACTTCCTGTTTGGTGTAGCAGTACAGCTTTGAAGATCACGTTCACAGCTGATATGAATGAAATGAGTGAAACAAGACAAATATTTTCGTAACTAGAATTGGTACAATTTCGTAAGCAGTTCTGTTGTATTCTAACATTCATATATCAAGCTAGATTCTCTGCAAACCACAATGGTAGTAGTTGTACATGTAAAAGAGAAACTGCCCATCGATGAAAACACCCTCCTCCCGAATATGCATACTTCCCTACTATATAGTAGGCGAAAAAGAAGTACACAAGACGAGTAGTATGTCCGAAGTCATAGTATTCATAAAACATTGTGCGAGAAGAAAAAAACATGACCTACTACTTCTGGCGAGATACTGAAGTGCGCATCTGATGGACACTTTGCAATCCCATGAGGCCACGGGAGAAGATTTGTGAATGGCAGCGATGCGGTGCAACTTAAGCCGTAAGTCACATGACGACAATATGGCGGATGTAGAACGCTTGGATTTTGAATGGGCTTGGATACTATAAAGAAAATACTTTTTTTTTTGAAGGTTTCAATGTTTGTTCCTCATCTAATGTACTTTTATTACCTACTCAGACAGTGCAGGATTTAGGACGCACCTAGTTTATGCTAAAGCTGCTACAGCACCCCTTGTGGCAACACTGAGAATGCAACACGTACTCAAGTTGCGTTATAAATTTCGCAACTTGTGCATTTGTGTTCTCGTACTTGTGTGGAGCACATTTTGTGCCTTGGACTGAACTTTGTACTGAACAAGAGATCAATAAGATTAAAATATACATTTATTCGTCAGTAACAAGTTGCGTTTGCGCAAAAAAGTCAGTATTCTATGACTATCATTTTTAAGGCTATTAGTCCTTTAAAAAAATGTAAGTGGGATTTTTGTCTAAGCTGAAATTAAAATACTAACATCTCATCTGGGATAAAAGCATTAACCTGAGAATTGTCTTGAAAAAATACTTTTTTTCTTCAAAAATATAGCAAATTGAGAACCAGTTGTCCATCTGGCCTAGATAAATATCTCTCTTTAAGACGCAAAAAGTAGTGATAGTAGTTAGCAAGCTAAACCGTTACAGTGTCACAGTCAGGAAATACTGTGTAGAAGCAAATTAAATCTGTTTAAGGCATCATATTAAGCCGAGATTCACTCGCCATTTAAATATTTTCGTACGATTTAGTAAAATATACAGAGAAGTTCGCCCCTCACCCACAGTGATTTATCGAAACAGTGATTTGAAACTACGCAAGTGCAAATCATCTGCTGAAATAAATAAAACTGGATGATGAATATTGACATAAATCCCTTTAAACCTAATTTTCGTCCTTTCCATCCACCAGTTCTTAAACATACCGAATGCTGTTGTGAGAAATAAGAGGACCGATATTTCACATTAACTACAAAACACCTTTGCAAATAATTCATGCAAAGAGTGCTGGTGTGACATCATAGGACAGTGTAAATATGAAACGAGAATTGTTAGACGGGAGTGTTGCGTCAATTTCTCAGGATTTGTCCAGGCTGGTGTTGTTTTGAATGTGCGGGAGCTCCTGGTTGCTTTTAATGGCCATGCTGATGCGACACATGGACTCGATCTCCTCTAGTAAGCCTTTCTCCTCAGTCTCATGCCCTCTTTTTTCCATATCTGTCTCCTGGAACTGGTTTTCCCTCTCCCAAGGAACGAAGACCGAAGGTTGCCCGTCTGTTGCCCTGTGCTGGGCATGTTCCTGGTAGGGCCTCTGGGTTTTTCTGGAAAGGACCTTCTGTCGGGAGAGGCTGTGGGCTACTGGGTGCAGTTTGTCTGCGCTCAGCTGGGCGTCAGCAGAACTGGAGGGTTTGTCAGCATCACCAGGTTCCAAGAGTTGAATTGTAGGTCCCTCAGGGAGAGAGTTCCTCAGTGGGACCTCTTCATTGGGGAGGTTCTTGGAAAGGGTAGGACGGAGAGGTAGGGAACGAGAGCTGGCTTGGCGTCGAGGCGAAGGCGGGAGATGCTTACCGTGAACGACGCTGTCGTCTTGACCCATATTCCATCCACCTTGTTCTCCGTTTCCTACTTCGCAACCAGCCTGAGCAGGGCTGCTTCCCAAAGGAGACTTGCAATTTTTCTGGAAACAGTACAAATGACACACTAAGGCCATGCAGTTGTTCGTGCACACAATCGTGAGATCAAAACAGACCCTATATACCTCCTAAATATTAATAACAAAATCTTGCAATAGTTTAATGGTAACAATGGTTATTTCATGTTGATTTCAAAACAATAAACTCTTTTAAAATTATGAAAATTTTAAGTTTCCAAAATAATTCAATCTATCCATCCATCCATCCTTTATAAAAAATCTTGATAAATAAAATTTGAAGTTACTAATACATAAAAAAACAACATTAAAAATGTAAATTAAATAATTGAAATAACTAATAAATAAAAGAATACAGAAAAGAATACAATTTAAATTATTAACAAATAATTAAAACACACTTAATTGGAATAAATGAATGAAACAAAAAATGAAAAAAAATTCCAATCATTAATTAATAACAAGTTGCATAAACATATGCAAATAATTGAAATAATTAAAAATACAAAATAAATAAATAAAAGGCATCCCTCACCGTGGGATTGTAGTCCAGGTCTTCAACTGATCTGAAAAAGTCCAGGCTCTTGGCGGCGGACAATCGCCCTTCCTCGATGTGGGACGTGCTGAGAGAGTCCAGAATCTCCTCCAGCAGGGTCATCTGGCCCGTTTGACTGGCTTCAGACCGAAACTCTAAATCAGAGTCATCACTGTCCTCGTTGTATGACGGCGCCTCCCCACTGTCCTCAGAGGATATTCTGCTCACACACACACATAGGTTGTTAACTCGAAAGTCATGTGGGATGAAAAAAAGCACCAGAGGGCAGTGTTGCCTTGAAGAATGGATGATGTTTACACTATAATTGGTTTGGAAAACACACTGTAATAGAGTTTAAACCCTTACCTGCTGGCTGTGTCGTCATTGTCAGGAAAGTAGAGGCTCATGTGTGGAGACGACTTTGGATTTTGATGCTAAAATAGAGGATTGAAATGTTAAAATCCCACATAATCTACTAAAGCAACCCATTTCCTGAACGAAACTTTGCATGTCCCCATTACAGAGCGACAGCATTAATTCCTGTCCCCATCATAGGTGCTCGGTCTGCTAATCCCTTGGCTTTTATAACACACCTGTGTAACACGTTTAATTGGCAAATTAAAGAATTGAAGCATTATAGGGGCACCACTTCACGCTGCGGCCCCAGGCTTTAAGGTTTGCCATTAACTAGCCATCCACGACATGTGTACACACACACACGCAAACGTGCCGCCACTCACTAAATTAGCCCATAAACTGCCGTTTGCCACATTATCAAAGCACATACTAAACCAAAGCCCTTTTACTGAGCTCGAGGCGCGAGAAAAACGTCACGCTACGTTGCTAACCGGACAGGGCGGATCAGATCAACTGGTCAAGTCTCGCCGTAATGGCTCAAGCGAAAAGCTTCCTGCCATCTTAGGTAACGGTGCCTGCCGAATGGGTTAATGGCCACCCTGTCCATAAAAATAGCTAAGAGATGCGTGTACCGAACACTTTGCCATTGGAATAAACAGGAACACATGTTGGGCACTGATTGCCCCACTCGCTAGTAGCCGGCAGCTATAATGAAAGCGATTACGGGGGGTTCAGGCCTTGAATCCTCCAAAAGGCTTTAATGGATTCCTGTGTCAGGGCCATAAATTTGGCCGGCAAGCCATTTTGGCTTAAGTGAAGGGGCTGGATGCACCTGCGGAACTGTGTCACATTCATTTGGTGTCGGCGGGGTGTGTGTGTGTGTGTGTGTGTATGTTTGTTTGCCCTGCAACACTGTTTGCAGTTATGTAGCCCCTTGAGTTGCGAAGCGGGCCGTGCTGTTCAGAGAGCGGCCCCTCTCTTGTGCTTTCTATGAGCGGAGGTGTTTATTAAAACAAGGCGAGTGCAAGCCCTCTGCAGGATGGCAACACCAGACCTGCATCTCAAACACCTTCTACCCAAACAAAAAAAGAGCAAACTCTCAACACATACAGTCAGGTATAAAAAAAAAAAAAAAAAAAAAAAAAAAAAAAAAAAAAAAAAAAAAAAGAGTAGAATCGGTTAGTTGGCAAAATGCTAATTTTCAGCCCTTCTGAGATATTTGACATCATTTTCCAAACAATCGTTATGAAATTTAGTAAACTTTAACCTAAAAATAAACTTAAAAAAAAAAGTAAATATAAGTAGCTGCTACAATGCTAAAGTAGTTGCTAAGCCATTGATTTGTGTGGTTTCAAAGATGTCCAGTGTGGTTTAAGCATGCTGCTAAGCAGTTGTTAGGGTGTTTTGGGTTGTTGGGTTGTTGGTTGTTGGGTTGTTGCTAGGAAGTAACAATAATACAAAGTCAGCCTTAAACTTCACAGTCACTTCTTTAGTTCTCTCAGGTTTGGGTATTAAACAATTTATTAAAAAAAAACGATATGTGGGCTAAATGCTAGGCTAATTTTTAATGTTTAGATTGTTTATAGTTGAGTTCATGTTGCAAAGCAGTTGCACTTGTTAGGGCCAAGTCAAAATAAGTTTATACTCGAGGTTATGGGTGTGAAACAATAGTAACAGTAGAGCTGCATGATGAATAAAAAAAAAACTAAAATCGTGATTTGGCTTGCTGCGATTATCCAATCAAGGCTGTGATTTAATTAAATATAAAATATGCACTGCGTGTATCAGAGTGAAGTGTGGCACTTTGTTCTTTTACATGTGAGCAATTATTAAAAATAAATAATAAAAAGTATATCATTATTATTCCTTTTTTATATCATCTTTTTATATTTTACAGTGAAATATTACAGTAATTATTAATACAGTAATTTCCCTTATTTTGTTTAATATTTTATTTAGCAATACTAATATTTATTATTATTATCATTTTTAAAATCATTGATATATAGTACATTTTTAGGCCAAACTAATCAAAACTGAAGCAAACTGAAGCCTAAAAAAAAAATCTAATTTTAAATCACAAATGTTTAATCAGAAAAATGTATTATACCGGTATCCCCCCCATTAGTGTAGCCCTGAGTAATAGAAATGATTGTCTTAGTAAATCGCTAATTACTCTCTGGGATGGCACAGCAGAGGATGCTGGGAAATAACATGAAGACTTTAGTCACTGCATTCTTTCCAAAGTGAGTCAAAGTGAAAAAGTCAAAGGCCAGGAAAAGAATCAGGATATGAAATAAAATAACAAAAGCCGTTCGAGCCACTGTTCCGAGACAGGCCAAAACCGCTGATTTGGAAAACAAGCAGACATGAGCCTATTTGCTTCTTTTACGTGTCCCCTAAATCAGCACGGACATATTGAGCTGCCACAGGTCAACGTCTGCTCCTTAAACTGCCTGTTTAAATCCACACGGAAAATGGGCTGTCTTCAGTCGAAGCGACGAGCAGACATCGCGCTCTTCAACGGAGACTTTAAAACCGTTAAAACTTCATCTCTCTTGTCAGGGCAGGCCGTTTTAAGAGAAAATCCCATTTTGCTTCTAGCGTGGCCAAGTTGTAAGAAGCGGCAACAGGGCTTTACGTTGCAGCCAATCGTCTCGTCGATTTAATAGCCAGGCTTACATTATATATTTCATATGCTATTTCAGACCAGGCACTGATCTCATGCGCTTGGCAGGGTATGGAAAGGGAAGATATGCCTGGAAAATGCAAACAAAACCCCTGCGCCTCCAAGCCAAAACTTAAGCCAGCATCTGCTGAGCTATTCAAGCAGTTCCCCTTTAAACAAAGCCCAGGACCCCTTCCCAGGCAAACTTCCCTCCAACTGGCTCCAGCTTAAAGCAACTTTCCAAATATCAGAGAGCAGGAGAGCGCAAGAAAGAGTCTGAATGTGTGTGTTTGTGTGTGTGTGTCGTTCAGGAGCATCCAGTAGGTGGCACTTTGGTTACAGCCGACAGGGCTTTCTCCCCCGCCATCTCCGTCTCATCATCGTCTCATGCAGATGTGCGGCTTCTCTCCGTTTGCAGAGAAACGTCCACCGGCCAAAAGCGCTTTCTCTCCATTTGTACGTCAATGTTTTTTGACACCCAACGAATCCATCTCGACGCTGGCAGTCCTTCAGACCTAGAGTTTCACAAAGCTCTCTCTCACACGTTCTCACATTCATCCATCCATGCTAACAGCCATGGAACTGTATGAGATGAGTTTAGAAAGAATAAGCAATATCTAAATAGAATTTGAATTTAAATTTAAAAGAATTTCGAGTACACACATCAAATTTTACATCGGTTTTTTGAGTGAAAAGGATATTCAATAAGAAAAGCACAGGGTGAGACTTGTGCATCATAATGGATCATTTTGATGAAAGATTACAAATGTATTGTCTTTCTTTAAAAGAGAATATTAACAATAATGCGTATTAAAAGAATATTCTGGTTTCAACCGGCGGCATTAAATGTTGATTACCACAAAAAAAAAGACAATTCCCTCCTTTAAAAAAATAAATAAAAGCAAAAATCTGGGTTACAGTGAGATACAATGGAAGTGAATTGCGCCAAATACTCATCGTACCTATTGTACAGAATCCACAAAATATAAGCAACATGAGTGTTAACATGATTTTAGTCTTAGAAACAGTCACCTTTTCAGTGTAAACACAGTTTTACTTCATGGCCATGACAATGCAACAACTAAAACCCTAAAACAATCATTTTTTAGAACTGTACAGCTCAAATAAAATACAATTTTCAAGTACTTTTATAAGATAAGCTTCACATTTCAGCTTTTAAATCCTCAAAAAAAAATGGCCACATTCACTGTAACCTCTATTATTTTTTATTAGGAAAGCAAGGAAAACTAGTCAATTTTTTTTTTGTAGTAATCATCATTAAGCCACAAATGTTGTCAACTTGTACTGAACCTGGAATTATTTCTTGTAAAAAATTCAAATGATTAATTATAATTTCATGACACCGAGTTCATTTCACACCGTTAACCCTCCCGCAGCTGTAACGCAATCGTGTTTACAGTGGTCACTGCTTAGGGCGGTATGCAAATGAAGGTGGAAGCCCACAAGCCGGAGCAGGAAGTGTGTATGAATTATACACAACGTGAACAGAGCTTTTTGGACTCTTTAATATGCAGCGCTGCTGAACTGGCCACGGCTATAGGGGATCCATCTGCCGGCTTCATCCAGAGAGCGTGTGTGTGTGGAGTCATTCCCCAGAGGCTGTGTGCCACTCAGAGGAGGCAGCCGCAACACACACACACACACACACACACACACACACACACACACCCATAGCTTCAGTCGGCAGGAATAAGCAGGAGATAGAGATCAGCTCCACTCTGCCCCAGGCCCTGCTACTGACACCCAGTCTGGCTTTCACAGGCCCTCAGGCTCGACCTGAAACCAGCCCCTTATACTGTACGCCACATGGATTCGGCGCAGTGAGCCAGAGTCACAAAACACAGCTCAACTTTTCTCTGAGTGCAGCAAGTGTTCTTATAACATTTGTGAAACTCCACTGGACTTATAACACAAAAAGAATCAAAACATAGTATTTTATATATATATTTGCTTGTTTATTTGTAGCTTATTGCTATTTTAGATATATATTGTGTATATGGGTGTTTATTTATAGCTTTTTGTTATTTTAGATATATTTTGTGTATATGGGTGTTTATTTATAGCTTTTAGTTATTTTAGATATATATTGTGTATATGGGTGTTTATTTATAGCTTTTTGTTACTTTAGATATATTTTGTGTATATGGGTGTTTATTTATAGCTTTTTGTTATTTATTGTGTATATGGGTGTTTATTTATAGCTTTTTGTTATTAATTATAAAATAATGACATTTGACATATTTTATAATAATAAGATATATACAGTATATATATATATCTATATAATTTATTTTTATATCACATTTTAATTAATTATTTTTGCATTAGTATTAATATATTATGTTTATGTTTAATTTTAATGTTCAACAAGTATAATTACAATGACTTTGTTGTTCAATTATTAAATTAATATTTTTTTCATGTTCATAATCCTTCATCAAAAGAAATATATACCTACATATTAGATTCTGATTGGTTGATTGATTGTGCAGTCTGCACTCTACCACTAAACTGTTTTTGTTTTCCCATAAAGCTGAGCTGATTTCATGTCTCTCGTGTAACTCGCTCTCTTTCTTCCCACATGATAAAATTAATCCAACCTAAATCAATATTTCATATCCATTTATTTATTTATAATGTAAAGTCAGCATCGTGCATCGGGTTCCTGATCACCCTGTTTATTTCGGCTCCTAAAAAAATGACACTTAAATACATAAAAAAAAAAAAAAAATTCAAACAAATTTATTCAACAGATAACTAAATGTATACTGGAAATGTTTTGGTTACACTTGGTAACACTTTATTTTAAACGTTACATGTTACTTGTTACACGTTACATGTAGTTATTACTGTAGTAATAACTATAAATTATACACACTTAAATGCAACTAACCCCAAACCAACCCCTAATCCTACCCTAACCCTAACCCAGTAAGTATGTAGTTAATTATTATTATTCAGTACTTAAATGTATAACTACACTCTAACAAAGACACCTTAAAATAAAGTGTAACCCTTTATTTTAGGCTGTATGTGTTACAGTGTAATTATGCATTTAAGTACTGAGTAATATTAATTAACTACATGTAATTACTATAGGATTAGGGCGTGGTTAAGGTTAGTTGCATGTAATTATGCACAATTTATAGTAATTACTATAGTAATTACATGTAACGAGTAACAAAAACATTTTATTATATTAGATTAGAAAATTGTATTATATAAAAAACGCAAAATAGAAGCATTTCCACTGGTGGTCTTAGACTTTTGGACACTACCACGGTTTATCAGATATTGCAGGTCTCTCATTACACTGCAGCATTTCTCCCATTTTAATGAACACCAGCAGAAGTGCATTGAAGAATAGAGCGTGTTGGCCTGCCGCTCAGACCCCGTCACCCTGTGCTCTTTTGTTCTCTGTTAGACGGTAACGATGACTGAGCGGCGCAGTGGATTGATTTGCTCATTGATCGCGTGGAGGGTCTTTGTGGCTCTGGTGCACGAGCAGGAGAACATGCGTATGTACTGTATGTGATGAATCTGAGAGCTCTGATAGAGGGTTCCTCGGGGACGGGCGAGTGGAGGGAGTCGGTCCGCCACCTTAAGAAAAGCCCTAATTGGAGGACCTCTGTCTTCACACCTTTTCACACCGCCTATTCCTTTCTCCCCACCTCTCCCCGACGACAAGGATGCAACTAATAACCGTGCTAATTAAGGGCTGGATGGAAAGTCACCGGTCACGATGGCATGCAGGCGGGGAAGGGATCAGGCCAGCCGTGGCTTTTGTCCAATGCCCTTCTGACACGGGACGCGGAGGTGTGAGCATGTAAGGGCAACAAGGGCTGGCTGTTCATGCCGGAAGTGAGATATTTTTTACAACTAATCCACACTTGCACCATTCAGCTCTGAATTTTTGATCAACATTCATGTTGCTGAGCTACAGTTGTTAAAGCCTCAATAGAGAGAGTGAATAACAGAGCAAAGGACACTCTCATGCTCATGAGTGTATGTCTGAATAGGCAATTTATAACTAGCATGTACATGCAATTTTTATTTTAAAAAAATCTATATGAAAAGTGAGTGCAGTCATGAAGAAATCAATGCTGGACACGTGTACACAGCTCTTTCATTTACACTCTGAAAATAAATAAATACACAAATAAACAAACAAATAAATAAATAAATAAATAAATTGGGGTCAGTCATTTTTTATATATATATATATACACACACTCACCTAAAGGATTATTAGGAACACCATACTAATACTGTGTTTGACCCCCTTTCGCTTCAGAACTGCCTTAATTCTACGTGGCATTGATTCAACAAGGTGCTGAAAGCATTCTTTAGAAATGTTGGCCCATACTGATAGGATAGCATCTTGCAGTTGATTGAGATTTGTGGGATGCACATCCAGGGCACGAAGCTCCCGTTCCACCACATCCCAAAGATGCTCTATTGGGTTGAGATCTGGTGACTGTGGGGGCCATTCTAGTACAGTGAACTCATTGTCATGTTCAAGAAACCAAGTTGAAATGATTCGAGCTTTGTGACATGGTGCATAATCCTGCTGGAAGTAGCCATCAGAGGATGGGTACATGGTGGCCATAAAGGGATGGACATGGTCAGAAACAATGCTCAGGTGGAACATGGCATTTAAACGATGCCCAATTGGCACTAAGGGGCCTAAAGTGTGCCAAGAAAACATCCCCAACACCATTACACCACCACCACCAGCCTGCACAGTGGTAACAAGGCATGATGGATCCATGTTCTCATTCTGTTTACGCCAAATTCTGACTCTACCATCTGAATGTCTCAACAGAAATCGAGACTCATCAGACCAGGCAACATTTTTCCAGTCTTCAACTGTCCAATTTTGGTGAGCTCTTGCAAATTGTAGCCTCTTTTTCCTATTTGTAGTGGAGATGAGTGGTACCCGGTGGGGTCTTCTGCTGTTGTAGCCCATCCGCCTCAAGGTTGTGCGTGTTGTGGCTTCACAAATGCTTTGCTGCATACCTCGGTTGTAACGAGTGGTTATTTCAGTCAAAGTTGCTTTTTCCCTTTTCACACCATTCTTTGTAAACCCTAGAAATGGTTGTGCGTGAAAATCCCAGTAACTGAGCAGATTGTGAAATACTCAGACCGGCCCGTCTGGCACCAACAACCATGCCACGCTCAAAATTGCTTAAATCACCTTTCTTTCCCATTCTGACATTCAGTTTGGAGTTCAGGAGATTGTCTTGACCAGGACCACACCCCTAAATGCATTGAAGCAACTGCCATGTGATTGGTTGATTAGATAATTGCATTAATGAGAAATTTAACAGGTGTTCCTAATAATCCTTTAGGTGAGTGTATATATATAATATGTTGCCGAATCATTGAAGCTGAAAATTCAGCTTTTCAAATCACAGGAATAAATTACATTTTACAATATATTAAAATATAAATAGTTATTTAAGTTCGATTCTAAATTGCAATAATATTTCACAATATTTCTGTTTTTTGGATCAAATAAATGCAGGCTTGGTGATCAGAAGAGACTTCTTCCAAAATAATTTTTTTTAATATATATATATATATGAGAGAGGGGGGGGGGGGGGGGGGGCTGCTTGAGGAGGAGGGCAGATCGATGCAGCAAGAGCATTATGGGAGTCCCTGGGTGCATGGCCTGATGGTTATGGGCGTCAGCGTGAGGGACAGAGTAAGAAGGCGCATGCGTATTTGACATTTTTGGAGATCAAAGCTGTGTTAGGGTGCAAGGAGAATAAAACCTCCAGCTACCATAAACTATACCAAGGAAAAAACTATACCTAGCAGCAAAAAACATAAATACCAATAGAGGATGGGAAAACGGTCATGAAACATGATAATGTGCTTTTATAAGTGGACGCCAGGGGGAAAAACACAAGAAAAGTGTTTTTACCTTACAAAATTAGAGATGCATCAAAACAGCCTTATTGCCAGTCCAAAATCTGGTTTTGTGAAACCACCGCGGCCTATTTGGGTTGGAAATGGAGGCAGGCCAGTGAATGATATGAATCCAGGCCACCTCCTGCGTCTATGGGAGGCTCACCGCTTCCCTGCCTGGGCTTGGCAACACATCACTGAATCGCACACGCAAGACACACACTACACACGGCCGCTTTAGCCACAGCTGTCAATCAAGCCGCCCCACGTCGGTTCGGACTTACTGGTGTGCAAATGGCCGCTTCTTTCAGGAGACGGACTGTCCGTGAACCCCTTTTCCCTCTGTGTGCAAGTGTGTGAAAGAGTGTGTACGTGCTCACCGCTCTCCTCTGTAGTCTCCTGGGTGAGAGGCTTTTAGTGCTGGTGGGAGAACCTTCACAGTACAGGCTTTCCTCCTCTTCAGCATCCTGCCGAGCAGCAAAAAAAAAGAAAAAAGAGGGAAACTGACAAATCATGTACAATACTTGCATAATATATACCCAGTTTTGAATGTACTTCAAAATATCTAATTTTATGTAAAAAAAATAAAAAGTAATTTCCTAAGATACAGTCAGATTTGCCATTGCTCTGCAAAATTTTGCAGGCGAAACCTAATCATTTAAAAAGGTAAAGGTAATTTAGGCAATCGGAGCGTTCACTGCTTGGTTCAAAAATTACTTCTGTGCAAACACTGTGTTTAATGCATCGCTACACTATTGACAATCGGCGAAATTTCGACGAAATTTTCCTGATGTCATTTGACTTTTCCTCCTTTTCAGATTCCTGGCGAAAAGCAAAACAAGAGAGGGAAACTGAGAAATGTGTTGCTCCGCAAAATTTTGCAGGTAAAATCCATTCAATAGGAATTTACGCATTGAGAATTTTGCAGTCATTTTCAAAGACACAGTCACATTTGCCATTGCTCTGCTAAAATTTGCAGGCGAAATCTACAAATTCAATAGGAATTTAGGCAATCGGAGTGAGAGCAAAGGAGTTCCCTATGCAGATTTCACTCGTGTTCAAATAGTTTTTACTTAAATTCACGGTTTAAAATGGACTTTTGTGTAAACACTGTGCTTAATGTATCGCTACACTACTGACAATGAGACTTTTTTGCAAGTGAAATTTCATCTAAATATTCCCTAATGTGATTCGACTTTTCCTCCTTTTCAGCGTCCTGGTGAAAAAGCAAAAAAAGAGAGGGAAATGCGTTGCTCTGCGAAATTTTGCAGGTGAAATCCATTCAATAGGAATTTGCGCATTGGGAATTTCACGTGAGCGAGGAGTTTTATTGAACCAGTGAACTTTCAGTGAAATTTTCCTAATGTGAAGGACCTTTCCCTCATCTTAAGCGTCCTGCCAAAAAGCAAACAAAAAAAAGAAAGAGGGAAACTGAGAAAGCACACAACCCTTTCATAATATGTACCCAGTTTGGCCAGTGTGAGTTATTGGAAACGTTATGCTACAAGCCCGTTTGAGTCTTGTACGGCAACAGACCGCATGATTATTTATACGAACGCGCACACACCCAATAACACTGACTCATTTGAGAAGCGTCTTGTTCAAATCTGTTTTGGTTTAGCTGAAGCAGAGCAGACAGCAGCAGCTAACATCCAGCGTATCAACTGTGAGAGGTCTCGTCTCCTCTGGGCTGCCTTTCCGAGCTCCTGGCCTGACAGTTCACGCCACAATTGCCTTATCAAAGACATCAGTGTTATGGAAACATACATCTCGTTACATTAGCTTTGAAGAAATCACTCGCTCACTGATGAAATATGCAAAAAGTATGAAAGGTGATGCTGGGGAGGGGGGGTTGACATGACAGCCTATCGCCAGAGGCGCACTTGTTAGAAATGTACACTCCCGAACAAAGCGCTAAGCAGGTTTCACAAGCCATTTAAAACTCTGAGCGCGAGCCATCCATCTTAAATAGTGTGAGTGCATGAGTCTTTATGAGTGTGAAGATGAGAGACGGTGAGCTGTTTTATTCAGAAAGCATTGTTAGGCTTTCGAATGCCCAAAAATGCACGGTTTTAATAAACAGAGAACTCTGAATAACTCACCTTTTGTGTAATCTTGCCCTTCATGTCGCGTATTTTCCGCTTTGCGTGATCTTTGGCCTTTCAAAAGAGAGAGAAAACTATAATCAATACCTGAACAACAAGATTTGGGGAAAACTAACTACAACCAACATTGAAATGTTGAAAAAGTGAGAGGTGAATCATATTAAAGGGATAGTTCATCAATATACTATTGAAAATGTTCCTTTTTTTCTTTCAAACTTTCTGAAAAATTCTGGTGGAAATGCTAATGTTACTGCACCTTTACATAGCAATGTTTGTACTTCTGCACAATAACTTCATCAATTAAAATTAAGTCTGCCATGTTCTTAACAATAGCATGTAAGAGTGTGGTGAATTACCAAATTCAGGCCATAAATCCAAGCCCACTTTTTGCACATGTTCTGCACAGATTTTGACAGATTTTGACAGACATGACAGATGTCAGACTCAAATTTCTAGTAACTAAAATACTGATTTATCAGGTTGAAAAGCATTTGCATAAACACAATGGAACACAAAAAAAGATATTTGAAGAACATCGGGAACCAAACAACATTGGTCACTACTGGCTATCACATACATCACGATACATGTTATAATATAAAACAAAATCTCTCTAATGTCCTACAGAAGAAAGTCATATAAGTTTGGACTGGAGCGACATGAGGGTGAACAAATGATGACAGAATTTTTTGGTGAACCTGTCACTCACCCTCAAGTTGCTCCAAAACTGTATGAGTTTCTTTGTTCTGTTGAACACAAAAGTTAAGAATTGCTTTTCTTGTGTGTTCTTACCATCTGAAGGTTTTTCACGACTGGTTTTGCCCTCTGCCGCTATGGAGAAGAGAACGTACGCATATTCAGAGAACGTGCCAGAATACATCTCGCATAAAATATACACACATTTACTGTCACAAATCATTAACGGCTGAATAAACACCTTGTTCCTTGTGTCAAAACCTTTGTTTTGCCCAAAAGCAATGAGTAGTAAACTATTGACCAGTTCTGTTCCATTTTTACAAGTCTGAAACCAGAGAGAGTGACGCTCTAGGAAGCTCTTATTGAAAGGTATGTTCTTGTCTGAATTTATCTCTCGTTCCCGGGTAACATCGGTCTTTACCAGATGAATGCTGCCAGGCTAACACGCTACACCTCTGAAATGCGTGGGATGCTGCCGAGTTTACATCCCAAAGCCTTGACCGACATGATGGCGCTGCGGCCCTTTCTTATGGATTTGTGTCAGTCAGAAGAGGTGAACTTTACACAAAACCTTTTGAAAAAGGCACTCCAGAGAACTAATTCGGCTCCGGCTGACGGATAGAAGGAGGGGGGGGAACGCAAAGAGACAGTCAAAAAGAAAACAGGCGCGAGAGACAGCGCGGAGAGAGGTGAGAGGAAGACAGCAGAGGGAAGGAGAGAAGAAAAGAGTGCTTTTCTTTTGTTCAATCTATCGAGTAATGGCTGTGTTTCCTGCCAGAAGTCTCGTGTCATCTCCGATGACTGGCTGTCACATCATATCAAGCCTGTCTCAACATCTTAACTGTCCCACGCCACAGTTTTCACCATCTTCCCTGGCATCGCATCTCCACTTTCATGCGATTCGCTCAACTGGATATGTTTCATCACCTCATAACCGACGGGAAATAATAAAGGCGCTCAGCTGCTTTGGGCTTAATTATTCAACCGAAATTAACATTAACATTATGTGCAGAAAAACGAATAATTGCCTGCTGCTTACCACCTTGGTGTGAATCCACTGTTGATAAGACCTTGAATTACCTAAGAAACAGGGAAGGAGTTTAGAGTGTTAATAATACTATTAGTACAAAATATTAGTTACCGAAAAATATTATAAGAAATTAGTCATTTTATTCATCAAGAATGCATTTAATTGATCAAAAGTGACAGTAAAAGGCATTTATAATGCTACAAAAGTTTACTATTTCCCAAAAATTTAAATAGAAATGAAAAAAAAACAGAAAAAAGTATCAGTTTCTACAAAATTATTGAGCAGCACAACTGTTTTCTACATTGATAATAAAACATGTTTCTTGAGCACCAATATATATTAGTGCTGTCAAAATGATTAATCGCACATAACATAAAAGTTTGTAAATATATAATGTGCATATATATATATATATATATATATATATATATATATATATATATATATATATATATATATATACTTTTACAGTCTATGATATATACATATACACATACAAACATTTGTTAGATGCGATTAATTTTGATATATATATATATATTTATTCACTCTTATTCAGAGCACCACAGATGATAAATGAGGTTTACAAGGAATTTGACAACTCTTAAACAAAAAAGAAAACAACTTGTTTTGATAAATAAGAAAATTCTGTCATCATTTAGTCACCCTTGTGTCATTCCAAACCTGCATGTCTTTTATAGAGTTTTTTTTTCCTTTTCTTTTCATTGTGCTTTAACAACTGGTCACTTCTGTTTCATTTGTATGGAAAAGAGCAGCATGAACCTTCTTCAAGGTTTCTGATTTTGTATTCCAAAGTCAGGAAATGAGTAAATAATGACAGAAATGTAATTTTGGAAGAGTTAAAAGTTACATTTCAAAATGCCTAATGTTGTTGTAGCTACTGTTTCCCAAGGGTAAAAGTAGTGCGAGTGTGTGTGAGCTGTTTTCACTCATTGAAAGATGGAGAGGTGGCACTCACTTCTACAGAAGCCCCCCTCTGTGATCTCCTCTTCATAGACGTCTGTAAAGCCCCTTCCTGCGTTTAATTTGGCCAGTCTGCCTTCAATGAACTGCCGCCATAAATTAAAGTATTACAGGTTATTAAGGAAGAAGGGGGATGGAGAACAACACCAAAACAATTCCATCTAGACTGCTCCAGACGTGGTCACTGTGTGTAATTTACATCAGGTGATGGATTAACATGGCAGAGGAGAATGTTGTGTGAGCAATGCCTTTTGGGAAGTTTAATTTCCTCTCTTGTCACGTAGAGGACATAAAAGGGATCTAATAAATATTCCCATTAAAACTAGGCCTATGACATTTAATTTTCAGAAGTATGAAAACAAACTTGATTTGAAAATATTTATACAAGTATAACGAACCAAAAAAAATAAAAATAATAATAGATAATTAGATATTAAAAATATTTTCTGAATATATAACATCACATCATATGGTCAAACTTCAGTCTAGGTTTTTGTTTTTATGTCAATGTCTTGGAAAGATTTAAAGATTGTTTTGGAAGGATGTGGAAACTTATACTGAAGATGTTTGATTAAAAATGTATTTTAAATATATAAAAGAAACTAACGTAATAAATATAATTCAGATAAATAATAAAGATGCTATGTAAAGGAATATAGATAAAACATATGTAAAGATATTAAAGCATTATATATAGTACAGTCAATAATTTTACTAGAAAAATACCTAATGCAAAATATAGGTTCTTGTGTAAACTATAATCTTATGTACAATTTGAATTTCTGTTCATATATATTTTTATTTTATGGTCTATAAACTCAAAGCTAAGAGATTAAGGAATATATAAATGTTCTGCAGTTTATGAAAGTTTATTTAGTCTTCTAACTTAAAGTTATTAAAGTTATAAATGTGACAATTTAACATCTACTAAAAGGTACTAGACAAATGCTTGTATTTATGCATCATTTTAAATATATACATTAGCATATGATATATTTAATTTATTTCATATAACGCATATAAAATATTCTTACCACTAATAAATCGGAGTGCTTTGAATCGCCAAGAAGAACACATTATTTTTAATGGGACCACTGAAGTAACAATGGGCCAGAACAGGTCTCAGGTGTCCCAGTAACAGGGTGAGGACATCTCTAGGGGTCAGCACCTTTCATTGGACTCTGCTACAGGGTAACTTCATTACAATCTCTTTAATGAGTGATGAGACCACTGGGTTCAGCCTCAGACACCCAATTAGAGCATGTGATCAGGTCAAATTAACACCTATCCAAAACTCTCATCCTTCAGTATCGTGTTAGAGACACACTCTCGTCCCATTAATTGGACACTGCTCCTACCTATCCGCTTGTTTAGTGGATATTTAAAGGCTGGTATCTAATAGAGCTGAACTCTAAACAAACATTTAAATCGTTTTTTATAATAAAAATGTCAATGCTTTTTTAATGATATATAATTATGTTTCTACTTCAATTCAGTTTTTGAAATATGGTGGCATAAAAACATGTTTTTATGATGGATTTATTCAAACACACATTAAATATTGAGATTGCACCAATGCAATTTTTTTCTATACATCCTAAACATTTGTTAACAACATGTATTCTTTACCTCAATGAGCTCATTGTGTCTGCCCTAAATTAATACACAGTTAAATGAATACATTGTTAGCTAACTGCGTGATTTGTATATGTACATTTCTGAAATATATAACTTGGACACAGTCACCTCTGATAACAGATCACTCTAAATTGTAATGTAGACACATGAATTTTCTGTAAAGCTGCTTTGAAACGATATGTATTGTGAAAAGCGCTATACAAATAAATGTGAATTGAATTTAAGAACAGGTTAAGCAAAACATGTAATAGATATGTAACAGTAATAGTGCATATATATATATATTCAGCACAATGCTTCTCTATAGAGTTAATTATTCTAGCTGACTAAAGAGGTTTTGGACATTAAATGGCTTTTCTGAGGTAAATGTTATGTGACATTGTTTACAAGCTGTTTTTTTTTTATGTCTTTCCGGGGTTGAAACACTGATTGAGCGATAACATGAGACATGATACATTTCGTTAAGTTGTATCGTATCTTTTAACATACCTTCTGATGTTCATTAATGTTTATGTCATGCTTTAACTAGTAGTAAATCCGATCTCTAATCTCCCTTTTATTGCTAAAGTCTTAGAACGGATTGTTGCAACACAATTGTTATCTCATCTATCTGTTAATGAACTCTTTGAGTCACTTCAATCTGGTTTCCGTAAAATGCATAGCACTGAGACAGCATTAGTTAAAGTCACAAATGATTTACTGATGGCTTCTGATTCTGGATGTTTATCAATACTGATCCTGCTTGATCTCAGCTCTGCTTTCGACACTATTGATCACTGTATTTTACTTTCCCGCCTGGAGTCTGTCTTTGGTGTATCTGACTCTGCTCTGAGCTGGTTTAGGTCTTATCTCTCAGATCGCAAACAATTTGTTGTGCTGGGTGGTTGTAGATCGGAGGATAGTATGGTAAAATATGGTGTACCTCAGGGTTCAATTTTAGGTCCTTTACTTTTTAGTCTATATATTTTTCCACTTGGCCAACTTTTGAGGTCTCTTGATCTCGATTTTCATTTATATGCTGATGACGCCCAGATATACATTCACTCAAAGCCTGATGTTAATGTCGCTGTTACTCACCTTTCTAACTGTATTGCAGAAATCAAAAATTGGATGTCTGTTAATTATCTATGTCTAAATAGCGATAAAACTGAAGTGATGCTTATTGGTTCGTCTCACCAGTTACGTAGTGTGAAATCTGTAGCTTTAAATGTGGACGGCTCTGATATACAGTTCAAATCTAAATTAAAAAACTTGGGAGTCATTTTTGATTCTAATTTAACATTTGACCTGTATGTACGTAATACTGTTAAAGTCTCATTTTTTCACCTTAGAAATATATCTAAATTGCGACCCATGCTGCCCTTCTCTGTAGCAGAAAAATTAATTAATACTCTGGTTTTTTCAAGGATTGATTATTGTAATGCCTTGTTGGCGGGAGCATCGAAATCTATTCTGCACAGACTTCAGTGGGTACAAAATTCTGCTGCACGTATTCTGACCAGGACCAGAAAAAGAGACCATATAAAACCTGTTTTAGAGACATTGCATTGGCTGCCTGTTAAATTTCGTGTTGATTTTAAAATTCTTATGTTGACCTACAAGGCGTTAAATGGACTTGCTCCGCAATATCTTTCTGATCTTTTAGTACCCTACGTTCCGACACGTAATCTTCGCTCAGCCGATGCTGGTCTTTTAGTTGTTCCGGTAACGCGCCTGAAAACTATGGGTGACAGGGCGTTTTCTTCGGTTGCCCCAAAGGTATGGAATTCACTGCCCTCACAAATTCGAAGTGCTCCATCTCTGAAATTGTTTAAGTCATCCCTTAAAACTTATTATTTTAAAGAAGCTTTTGGGTGAAACATGATTGTTGTGGTTCTCCATGTAATATATTTTATGGTTTTGTTTAATTTATGTTTTGTTTATTGATTTTAATTTTTTTAGATTTATAACATTGTTTGTATGCATGTACTGTAATAGTTTGTATGTCATGCTTATTTTATCTATTGTCTATGTTAAGCGCTCTGAGAATTAACTTTTAAAAGCGCTATACCAAATTAAAGTTATTATTATTATTATTATTATTATTAGTAAAGAGGAAGAGATGATCGGTTCATGAGCGCTTGAACTGAAGTGGCGGCAAAATCGTTTTTTATTGTTTGTCAAAAGTAACAAAGCTTATTATGATTTATTGGATAGCAGGTGCGCTAAAATTAATATTTAGTGAAGTTCATAGACTAAAAGATCGATTCTTGGAATTGAAGTTCTTCAAAATAAGAATCGATTGAAATCGAGAAATCTCCAGCACTAGTATCTAGGAACAAACACTTGATGATGGAGTTGGTGACACTTATTTTCTAAATTTCTTTATTTCATTATGCTATATTAACGGTGCACAAATGTTGCAAAACGCCATGTTAAGGGTAAATGCATTGTGAACTAGAATATATAACAATAGATTTGTTATCTTCACATTTAATTACGAGATGAACAAAAGGCATAATCTCTAGCTAGAAAAACGTTTCCAAGCAACTTAATTTGCTGAATGCAACTACGCCACATCAAAAAAAAAAAAAAAACGCTGCATCTGAAGGTGTCAAGGGGGTAGTGATGAGAGTCTGGAGGAAGAACCAGTTAACCGGACCCGTGCAGACAGGGAGATGGGGAGATGGCAGAGCGCTGCGAGCTCTCTCTCGTTGGCAGGGTGATCGTGAGTTAGCATCAGGCGCTGGAAGCCGTGTGGGGGGGGGGGGGGGAGTTAGGATACAGAAAGCAGGTCGCCGTTGACAGACTACCCCCGCAATCTCTTGGCAGCCAGCCTCTACTCGTTTCTAGGCAGGGCCGGCCTCCAAGCGGATGTGGTTCATGGTCAGAACGGGGCACTGTGGTGCTGGCCTTTTGCAGTACGGCCAAGTTGGAGATAAGGCCTCTCCCGGAGCTACTGCACGGGCGGGAGGTGGAGATGTCTTTGAACTGCTGGTCACTATCTGGGTTTTTGGAGAGAGCGTTATGTGGATGGCGCGTCAAGACGTAGATGTGATTAAATGCGCAACTGCTCGTTCCGGGTATAAATTAAGACTTTAGCGGAGGGGGAAGAAAAGAGGCTCGATATCAAGGCTATAAATAGAGCTGGAGGGAGCGATGGTTCAAGTGTAAGCAAGACAGTAATCCTCTTGGAGTTATTGTGCAATATGTTGCATGAGTATCTATATAAATATCATAAACTTGTCGACTAAATTAACAAATCAAGAACACTACAAATGTGTTTTTTATGTAATTTATGGTTGAGGCTTAAAACTGTGAAAATCTCCTCCATCGTTTCCACTTTACCTGCTTGAAGAGTTGCAGGTTCACGGCCATCTCAAGGAAACTTCTCATGGTGCTGGAGCGGTGTGCCACGAAGCTCTTCTCGCAGAAGGTGATTGGCTCTCCCTGGGGACAAGAAAGCCAGATTTAATGACTATAGACAGTCCGCTATTGGCTAAAACGCCTGCTAACTGTGCTGCTTCATCCGAGTCTCACAGACAGATGTTTTGTTTGACTGCGCTCACTTGTTTATCATCATCACCCGTTGCAATCAATTACATCATGTCACATGAACAGAATACAAAAAAAAAAGTTGCCTGAAGAGATCTAAGGCTTGTTGAGAGGATACACTTTGCCCGTATGTGTGAATTAGAAAAAGATTTGGAATTTTTTGGGGGCTTGTAGGGTTGAAAATAACATTTTTCTATGCAAATCGTTCGTAAAACCATCCCTACACAAATTGTATTGCATTGTTATGGTGGCTGAGAGAGCTCAACGCACTGCAACTGTAGAAAATACACGCAAATAAAATAAAAAACACCAGCAAATTAAGAAAACATCTTCATCACATGTGCTGTGTGTTGGGACGCGTTTTTGTATTTGGTTGAGTTGAGTATTTTCAGCACATTTCTGTATTTGTTTGCGTTGTGATTTTTTGCAGCGCCTTTCTGTATTTGGTTGCATTGTGTTTATTTGCGGCATGTTTCTGTATTTGGTTTCGTTGTGAGTATTTGCTGTGTGTTTATGTATTTGGTTGCATTGTGTGTATTTGCAGCAAGTTTCTGTATTTGGTTGCGTTGTGAGTATTTGCAGCACTTTTGTTGTCAAATTGATGAAAATGTTTTCTTAATTTCCTGGTGTTTTGTTTATTTACAGTGTGTTTTCTTCAGTTGCAGTACGGTGAGCTCTCTCGGCCTCCCTACATTGACGCACTGAATGAGATTATTTATATTAGAACTGTATAAAAAATAGGGGTGTGACGAGACGCTTATCTCACGAGACGAGACGAGACACGAGATTTGGTTCACGAGAACGAGACGAGACGAGATTTTTGCACAATTTTTCAGAAATCCTCAATGACAAAATTCATGACTGGAAAAATAGTATGCAGGTGCATTTTTCAATGTTTTAACTAATAATCTTCTAATGCATGTCATTTCAGGTCTACTTTATGAGTATGAATTATCAAATGCATTGAAAGAAAACAATATTCAAGCACTGTAAAAGGTTTTTATTGACTGGCTTTTCTTCTGTATGATTTCACATGAGTCTCTTCAGACCTTACTGTACATGTAAGAGCTTTCAGAACTTCTGATTGAGGCTGTGTGTGACCTCCTAACTGAACTCCTTTACATACATTTAACAGAGAAATAAAAACAGTATAAATAACAAAAATAAATAACAGTTTTCTCTTAGTCTTATTAAGTGCAAACAATAAGTGCAACCATAATCAAAGTTAGCACACAGACTCTTTATAATTGTTGTGAAATTGCTGTTTTATTTTGCACCGGCAGTTATAGGGTTAATGCAGTGAGTTCGGAAAAGGCCGGGTAGAGAGGCTGGTGCGTTTGTCTCTACAGCGTTCCAATTATAAGTTCAGAAACGGAGCCTCCCTTGTCTGTTGTCCTTTATACGTTACACAGTGCTCTCTCAATATTCGCAGTGCAAACAGAGACCATAGCCGCAAATAAACAGTCCAGAGATGGGTATTGGGAGACGGACTATTGTATGTATGCAGCCTAATTTGTGCGCAATGCACATCAGGGAGCTTGTGTTTTACTTTCACTTACAAAGTCGTGACCGCGCGTATAGGGAGCAGCGGTGCTGAGCGCGCATATTCTAGAAGATAAGACATTTATCAGACGTTTAGTCTGTTGCGCAACGAATCCTCCGCTCCGCCATCGTCACGTGATCAGTGAACTGGGATTCGTGCTGCACTGATTGCAACAGCAACTCGTGCTGGATGAGCAGAGCAGACTTTCACATTAGTTTATAATGGTTTTTATTTTTTTTTATAAAAATAACAAAACGATAGTTTAGGCGAATGTGAGTGTAGCGGTGAAATATTCATGGCGATATCGTGAGACAGCTTTTTCACTCGACAAGAAATCTCGTCATATTTAGTCTCGCGAGATCTCGTCACACCCCTAATAAAAAACAATTTTCACAGAAATTCGTTTTTTTTTTTTATCTGTTCACTGGTTGTAAAACTATTCTTATACAAATTACATTGAATGCAAATATTTATACATAGTAAACTATTCCTAAGCAAATTGTATCGCATTGTCCCACTGAATAGTATGCTATGCGACTATTTAAGAATGATTTTACGAACAATTTTCAGAGAAATTCATTCTGCTCGAGTTTCACGAACAAGGCTCAATAGCAAGAAAGGCTAGCATTTCAAGCAACCTTTCTTTTTTGTTCTTTAATTATAATCCAATTATAAATTTGTATAATTCATTTTCACAACAGCTAAGCGGCGTGGCTTAAAACCTGTCTGATCTGCGCATTTGTTAGCATCGTTCTTGGTGCTCGGGGGTCAATAACAAAAGAGACCTATGACGTATCACACTACAGTGACCTATATAAGTCCATGATTGCCGACTCTTGCATGGGAGCTAATTATGATTCCCTGCATTGTTTCATTTACAGCTCAGTTAGATGTCGGCACTATGTTAAGGCGCTGAAGGGAAAGCATATGGGCTCCATAAAGCAGAGCGGAACTTCACACAGATGATTCGTTGCAAATGGAGGAACCTCTTTAGAAATGTAGCACACAGAATATAAGCCATTATCGCAGAACATGACAGTAATCCTGGTGAAATACTGGATGTGTAAAATCAAATACCGCTATCACATTTCAGATACATGCAGGCTTTCTTCAAGAAGGAATGCTCTGAAATAATGCATAAATTACTGATTTTATAGTAAAATATTGCAACTAATGCAATGTTTTCAACTAAATAGCTCTGCAATGCTGTCATTTCAAAGACATAAGGGTGTTTTGTCTCTGTAATAACAAAGTGAAATATTAATCAAAATAAAGCAGCACAAAGGCTGATTTTCAATCGTTCGACTTCTCAGACTCTTAATGAGATGGGGCCGACTGTCAAAAAGAACGACCCATATTTGAGCTTGTGTTTTAAAGCAAATGCGAAGCAAATGAAAGTGGCGTGACTGAGGGCCTTCTATTTAAAAAAAGAAAGCATGAAAACAGTGGTAATTCCATGTAGATTTGCAGACAATGTGCTCAATTGAGGCAGCGCTTTGAAGGCTAAGAGTTTCACAGACTTGACTTCGAGCATATGTGTATTTTTTTCTAGCGGCGAAAAGACAGTTTGTGCACAACTGCTAAAACATCAATAATGTATCTTCGCTCTGTGGGTCTACAAAAACCAATTACTCTCTGCCTTGCCAACAAAGATGGCCACATTTGACAAACAGAGAGCACACTTTGTTTTCCTCAACGCCACTCACGTAACCGGGAGGCACATTTCAGGAGTTTAGAGGGTCTGAGAAGACCACGAAGGCCCTGAGACTTCAAAGAGACAGTCCAGGCTTTTTAACATCTGACATTTCGGCTATGCAGACAGGCCCACCTTTCCCTGCACCTGTTTTTCCCTTTCTTTCAGCCTTTCTTTCTCTTGAAATGGCTTTGACTGAAAAAATAAAAAATAGGCCACTTCTTAGGTTTAACTGAAACATTCTTAAAGTCTAGAAAAAAAATAATAATACTTTGGTAAAAAAAAAATATTTGAAAATAAAAAGTTGATAAACCCACATGTCATTTTTAGAGTCATTAAAACTTGTTGAAAATAGTATAAAAATTAAAAAAATGATAATTTAAAAAATGTGATCTTAGTCACTGACATTAGCAAAAATAAAAATGCATAAATATTTATAAACGCATACTTATAAAATAATTAAATTGGTGCATGGTGTTGATAAAGTGATGATAAGGTGATATTCCGTGCAGAGCTTTAAGAGAAGAGTGCTAGTCTTACAGGTTTATATCTCAGGGCGTCCCGATAGGAGCCAAACAACGCAGCCTGAGCATGCAGAAAGGCCCGAGCCACCCCACTGCCTGTAGCAGTCGACTGCTTTTTCAGCTTACTCTTCAAACTGGAGACCTAAAAGAGAGAAAGAGAGGGAGAGAGTTAAATTAACACCTCTGAAATAGGTGGAGGAACAGGCAAACCCATTCAGAGTGTGAAGTGTCACATTTACAGGTCACCCCCCGCCCTAAAAACCAAAGAAAGAAATAAAGAAAAGCCTTCTATCTCTCAAGAGCACCTGCTGCTCTGTTAATTGAAGCAATGGTGCCGTGTGCAGGGGTGGGGCCAGAGAGCAAAATGACTTTGGCAGAGAATCTTGGTCTCTCTTACCCTTCTTCTTTCTTACTAGCTACTTCCTAAATCTCTCGACATACATATACTTTCATTATATATTTACAATTATCTGCTACTGGTCTGCTTTTAGTTCCTTGTTGTCCAGTCTGATACTGGTGAAAATCAACTTTTGAATTAAATGTGTTCTTTTATTTTTGCGGGGCTTGAAAAAATGTAAAGGTGGAAGAAAATAGTGTCATTAAAAGAGTGAAATTCTTTTTAAAGAAGGAGATAGAAGTTTTGCTTTAAATAGAAATATGCGGTGTAACCACTGTTGGGGAAAGTTACTTTTAAAAGTACTGCGTTACTCCCTAAAAAAGTAACTATTGTGCTTCTCAGTTACTTTTTATGGAAAGTAATATTACGTTAATTTTGCGTTACCTTTCTTCACCTGTGCTGGTCTTGCTTGATGCTTTATTCTCAGCATCAATTCCCTTTATTCCCTGCTTGATTCTATTTTTATCATAGGTAAAGGCTCTTTCACACCTTATGTAAAATAAATAAGACTCCAGCTGAAGGAAATGCAAATTCATGCCATTCTGGATTGCAGAATTAGAGGACGCAGGAGAAGAAAGTTCAATACTCTTACATTAGCAAAAAATAATAATTAAGATTTAAACAAATATGATGTTTAACTAAACATTTTTGCTTATTGGTATCGTTGAATTGGATTATTGAAGGTCAGCAGCAAAGACATTGGTTAATAAAGTGAGATTAAATACATAAAGTAGTGTTGTCAAAAATATCGATATTTCGATAAATATCGATACTGAAATATCTGAACGGTACCAATACTAATTTCCCAAAGTATCGATACTAGCCGAGCGGTCACTTTCACTTCTCTCCAAAGGCGCGTTGACAAACACCACACGTGACGCACTCGTCTCATTCGCTCTGGTTAAATAGCAAAAGTGAAGTGAATGGAAAGATGGCGAGAACACCGCGATCGGGCATGTCGGAGAATAGCGCGCACACGCATAAAAAACACACCGCGAGCAGGCATGTCGGAGAATACACGGACACGCGATTCACACTGTGAGCGTGCTGCGGGCACCCAAAAGATTGTTTGACTATCAATAATCCCTAAAATCACTCATTTTTTAAAATTATTTTATAGGTGAAAACAGACTTAAAGACTCACTCCGATGAAAATAATGTTTTTCTAGGTGTTAACATGTTCTTGTGGCATTTTTCTGATGTTAGAGGACATACCTTGAGAAAAATAAGCTCAAAGTTGTATTTCTGAGTATTTCTACATTCAAATGGCTGTGATTCCTGTGAATCAGTAGCAGACGCTAAAATGCCGGCTAAAATAGACTGGAGTTGTGACGTAGTAACTCCACTGGGCGTCTCCACACGCAACGTCTTGGAGTGAAATAATGATCGGTGATCGGTGATAACTTTGATGAACTTCGGATAATAATAATTAACGTGTATATAATACTGTTGCCCCACCGGTATTGGGGGTGTAAGCTAGCGGGAGAGACAGAGACAGAGCTCTCAACGGCTCTCCGTGCCAACGGCTCCGCCCACAACGCAGAGGCGAATTGCTAATGAGCTACTGCCGCTCTGCTGAAGCGAAGTCCCAGAAAACGGCACAGGTTTTGTGATTTTGGCTAAAAATGGCATAATCATAATTTAAAGACCACTGGGAATGTTTAAAAATAGCTCAAAATATGATCGGAGTGGGACTTTAAGGAACAGGCTCCAGGGGTACCATTTAGCAGCATATATGCTCAGCATCAGGGGTGTTTGTTATTTGGACAGACCTGCCCCCACTGCTAAAAAAAATCCTAAAAGAAACACTGTAACTCTTCTCATTTTAACTTTTCTGAAACATTAACCAAGATGGCCTAGTATTATTGTTGATATGAGTCTGTGTTGTCTAGTATTTCACCGTTTTCTTAAAGTTAACATAATCTGACTGAGGAATCTTAGACAAGTAAATATTGTTTTGTGGTCAAATGTAAATTTACTTGTGCCTATTTAACTTTATTCAAAAATTATTATTTGATTCTGCAATTTTCCTTCATTAGCGATTATCATCAATTTGATTAAACAGATACTAATTAAACTAAACAGCTAGACAATGGCATCTCTGAATTCAATAATGAAATGCCTTTAACTGAAAATTGAATGTTTAATTGAATGGGGACAGGAAAAGTGTCAGTCAAAAAATTGGACGACAAAGTAACTTGCGTTACTTATTTGAAAATGTAACTCACATTTTTCAGTGTTAATTTAAAGGTAATGGGTTACTTTACTCGTTATTTGAAAAAAAAAAACAATCTGATTACGTAACTCAAGGTGTAACACCCCAACACTGGGTGTAACAAACATGCAGAAAACATTTTGTTGTCATGTGACATAGGAAATTAGAGAAAGCAAAGGTTAGTTCATAAAAATGTGATCTTATTTGTAATTGACCCATAAGCCCAAATAAATATGCATACATACTTATAAATGCATACTTATTAATAAACAAATAATATAACCAAGGAAGTATTTGAATTGCATGTCCCCAACAGATTTTTCCCCATACTCCCAAGCCTTCTGTATCAAAGCATCCAAGCCTGTCATGAGACACAGCGGTGCACGAACACATGGGGATGAACCATGAAGCGGTGCTTGATCCAGGTAATCTAAGGTTAACCAAATTGATTACATATTCTGTGGCGCTCAGAACCATCTGCTGGCAATTCATTTGCACGCCTGCAATTGACACTGAGCAGCGTGCATATCAATAATCAGTTTAGATTGCTTCATTAGGGAAGATCAAGCAAGGACCATAAACGAGAGCATTTAGGCAGTCCACAGAATACCAAGAGGCAGTTCAGTTTAAAAACGCAGCAAAAGCACCTGGGTGAATCGCCACTGACCCTTTTGAATGTGGAAAGAGGTTTTGTCGCAGATGTTCACAAAATGTGGCATTCTTCATATCGAACAAGTTTAATTTTTGTTGTCTTTTGTTCTATTTGTCCCTATTGGGATGCATCTCTTCTTCACAGAGTCCCTGAGCTGATATGGCGAATACTCAGATGCATCAAACTGGAAGTTTAGCGGCGCTAAATTAACAAGTGTCATCTCCATATTCACACTGGCTAAGTGCTTTTATGTTTATGTAAAGTTGGTGCCATATTAATATTTCATGTTGATGCGTTGTCTTTTTTCCCTCACTTCTCTCGCTCTCCCCAAACAATCCGTTAAACAGTCTTCATTTTTGAAGAATCAAAGAAACCAAAATGCCACTCACACTCAGGAGAACGTTCACCATACCCAGTGGGCAAATAAGAGGAGATAAAACAAAAGGTTGTGCACAAGAATGTCTTCAATATTTATGAATTAAATTCAAATGTATATCTAATGAAATAAATGTATATAATGCTACTTAATATTTATTATTTACAATTATACATGCCCCCACTCCCCCCCCCCCACCCCCACTCATATATATACTACTGCTAATGCTAATAGATACACAGGATGTGAGCATGTAAGATATGCTGCTGCTGCATAAATAAACATGCATAAATCCAGTAGCAGATCGAGGCAGGTGGAGCTGGGGGAGGTGGAGGGTCTCAGATGAACTCTGATGGAGGACTAGCTTACAGCAAACACTGAACCAGACTATTTAAATGTTGAGCAAGAAATCTAATTGGCTGCAGGATCAGCAAAGGCCAATTAGCTTGTCCAATGCGGTAATGATGTGATCGCACGAAGATGACAAAGGACCTATCAGCCTGCGCCCTTTAGAGTTTTTATTTTATTTTCATACAGGCTATATATATATATATATATATATATATATATATATATATATATATATATATATATTAGATAAGCCTGTATGATGATACAATTAACTACAATGTATTTTTTCCTCTGTTAATACTCGATTCATAAATCACGTTCACAGATAATGCTGGTGATACACTTCAATTTAATAACTGGGCGGCACAAGCGTGGCCAATAATTGATCAGTTAGACTAATTAACTTCTATACTTTGAGTAACGTTAACGAGATGTGAGCGGGTGGGGCATCAGAGGGGAGCTTAGCTCTACAGGTGATAAACCTATTTGGCAGTGACATTTTTTAGTGTAAAGTCATTCAGCCTATAATCTGATCAAAGGGAGAGTCCCCCATTGGGTCCAATTATAACTATGGTATTGTAGGAGGTGGGTAGCGGGGGGGTTGGGAGATGACTTATGTTGAGTTATGATATTCATAATCTATGCAGAGAGGCCTTTCCACTATAGGTCTTCTCCCCATAGCTGTGATCTTTTCAATTTACATCAAGCGAGGATGGCTGAGGATGAAAGTGCAGCCTCCGACTCGCTGAGCCCGTCGAGGGCAAACACAGGGCCTCATTAAACTCTACTGCATGGACTCCCCAACAGGGTTTGAAGTGCGTCAAGTAAAGAGCACGGGGTCAGAGGTGGCCCTGAAAACAGATCTCCATTTAACTCACCAGCTGGAGATGATAATTAGCAGGTGCATCACTGTCTCCTGCTCTAAAGGATGATACCATGGAGATCTGCTCTGCGATGGGCTTCTATTATACACCGCGAGTTTCAACAGAACACCACTTCTGAGACGCTTTTGCGCGCACACACACACACGCCGGTCTCTCCTCGAGAGCTGAGCTGTTTATGGTCAAGGGATTTTAATTCATTGAACTGGACAAGCCGCAGACAGGCGCTACACACAGTCATGTCCTCACACATATATTTTACACTTTTTCCAGGTTAATAAATGGAGATCTGATGGATTTTACAACCTGACTGGATATTTAGAGATTTCTTTTAAATATATATATATATTAAATAAGCCTGTATGATGATACACTTAATTTATAAATGATTATGATCAATATAAGTTAAAATAAAGGAGTAAAAAATTAAATGACCATTTACAAAGTTAATCTAGACGTAAATAAATCAGCCCACAATATTGTCAGGTTACATTGTGAACGTTTTGGAGTATGGCTGAAAGACTTTTTTTTATTATTTTTTTTAAATATGTTTTGTTAAGGATTCTGTCCAGGGATGGAAAGCCGTTGGGAGGCAATTAGAGGACTACAAAGAAAAAAGAAATAGATATGAAAATCTTCTGCTTTCTTTTGATGTGCAATAGGCTGAAAAGTAAAATGTACACGCGGACTGAATTCACATCCTTTCAGAAAAACACAAAGACAAAGTGTATTTCAACCGTAATGCTAAAGGAAACGCAGGTCAGTGTCTTGTTCTTAACACAGCATACATTAAGTAAAAGAATAATTAAGTAAATTAATTCATTAATTATAAAAATATGCTTGCAAAGTTTAGTGTCTTTCTTAATACACTCCCTACATTTAAAATAAATAAATAAATAAAAAGTGTATAACTTAAATGTAAAACTAAGAAAACAATCATTATCAATCGTAAAACATGCTTAAAGATTTCTAACAAAACGCAAGGTTAGTGTCTTTTTCTTAAAAAGCAGCATACATTTAAAATAAATAAATCAAACAATAAATAAATAGATAAAAAATATAACTTAAAATAAAAGAAACTTTGATCAAACATAAATAAAACAAAATATGGTAAACATTTTTTTTTCTCATATTTATCAAGACAGTTAAAAATAAATAAATAAGTACCGAACTGAAAGAAACACCAATACAAATGACCACTCAATAATATTCACTAGTTAGCATTCACAAAGCAAATTACTCCATCAATCACTGCTAGTTTATATGCTAACATAAGCATGCTGAATGCGCAAGTTATTCGATTTTGGTATGTGGAAGATGTAATGCAAGTTTGTAAAAAACGAAAATATGCATTCAAACACTAAAAAAGACTGGACATTTTTTAATGTAAATGTGAAAGTAAACCTTTGGTTTTTAAGACATCTGCATTTGATTTCAGTCTGACACTCAAGCAAAAAGAGCCAATCAAGTACAGTTATTGTTCATCAACAGACCAATAATGGTGGTGCCTTGAGGGCTGGACACTGCATTAGTCCACTCGGGGCGGAAATGAGCCCCACCTGGTCTGCCCCGTCCCACACACTACGGCACGAAGAACTGATCCTTTAAGAGGGTCCTGAATGGGCTTGATTTGCGATGCCCTGAAATAGAACGAGCACTGAAGAGCGCAACATTCCCACTTTCCCCAAACAGTAATTGTTTGGTGTGTCAGCTGATGTAGTGCTTGTTTTTGTTTTCTCTCGAATCCCAATTAAACACCATGCCGGGTGATCTCAGAGGAGGCGCGCGGATATTGCACTCTCTCTGATTAATTTGTTAACCTTCATTTGGTAGCTTAATATACACGAGGTGGGTGTGCAAACTTGAATTTTTGCTGTTGATTGAGAACGTAAACGATCAAACGCAGGAAGTACAAATATAAGTTGTGTGGAAGAGACGAAAAGGGAGACAACCGGTATGACACGAGCAGCAAAGACAGAGAAACTGGAAAAGTAAACAATAGATCTGGCGTAACTTGAACTAAAGTAATAAAGTCAAAAGGAATATTTTATCAAAACAGTCTCAGGATTGATACAGGACCTGTGAGCAGAGAGAATCGCATAAGATTGCAGCGCTGTTTGGTAGCACAATGGATTCATAATTTTCTATTTTTAGATCGTTTTAATGACTGCACAAGTAAACACCCCCCATACCCCGCTACCAAATCCAATTATAATTGAATAAAAAAAAAAAGCAACAGTTTCACAATGTTTAAGAAGGAAAACACCTTCATTTATTTGTGAGAGAGCAAACTCTCCTTTTAACATAATTTATTTTCTTTCTTTTTCTTTTTGCAAAATCTACAACCACCCATCATTAAAATCTCCTAAATATTTATAAATTCAGTTCTTGATGGAACTAGAAAAACTTCAGCGACAAACACCTTCTAAAACAAAGAGAATCTATTTAGAAAAAAATAAAGTTAGCACGAAGAGTTACATCAAAGTGATCTTTATTTTAATGTTTATATACATGGTGGATCAAAAAGTCACGTTACACTCACTTGAGACATTTTAATCTCATTTTCACACATTGTACAAAATAAAAAGTAGCGCTAAATTTGTTTTGAACCCTCGTGTGACACTTTCGAAAAGTGTGGTGATTAAAACTGCAACCCAAAAAACACAATCCGTGGACTTTCAACCTCGTCCCATCTGATGTTTCCAATAAAAAGGCATGTTTGAAATCATTCTCAAGCGTTCGCCACATCCTTTCTGAGCCGCTGCAATTATTATCTCTATTTGTAAAATCCGTCGGTTTGTGCAGAACGGAATAGCTACTGGCGTGGTAGCATTTCTAATAGTCAATAAATCTAAAATATTATGTGTGAAATTGGGAAAAACTGCCATTAAGTGACAGACAGCGGTGAGCACAGCATAGGGTCCCGTCTGAAAAAAGGGCCAGGTAATTCAGGACAACTGTCACCCCTGACCCGTCTGAGAGCGGCTCTAGTGGTCAGACTCTCCGAATAATAAAGCCCACATGGTAAAAAAAAGCCTTCAAACACTTAATTAGATGAATCTCAAAAGGTTCGGTTTAAATCAATAAAAGACTTGGGAGGAAAGAAAAGAAAAAAGAAACGCTCCAGGGTAAGTTATATTCTATTTTGCTTTATAGTTGTAAAGTGCATTGATTTTTTTTAGAGGCCAGAAATGCTAAAATCTCTGAATAAATGTGTATTTGAATAATGAAAGTAAAAAAGAGAATCAAATTAACCGATTCAATTAAATTCCATCGATTGGTCCTTTTTAAATACCAAATTGCGAGGCACTTTCGCCATGTGACAGACTATTTAAGATGGAAAGGGGCGGGGGGGGGGGGGGGGGGGAATAAACCCAGAGCGTTTGCTCAATTTAAACGTATTCCTTGAGTTATGAATTTTAATATCCCCAAAGGTATGATAACCAGAGGAAGAGAAAAATGAATTTTTGCGGTGATAAATATATTATTGTAGGTGACATTTACATTCAGGTGGGGTAATTTAACATGATATGCAGAATACGTTCTATCATTAGTCAATGAAAAATTGCGTGAGAGGATCAAAGCAAACATGAAGCTGCCACTTAATTTATCACGCTACGAAGACAAAGAGGTTTTTTCTTTCCCCTCCGTCAGTTTCAAAAGACCCGACTCTTTTTTTTCTTTCTTTTTTATACGACGCTCTCGGTTTGCAATTTAATTTACAAATGGGATGCCAGTGCTGAGATGGCATAACAGAACAGGCTGGCTTTTTCTGCTTGGACAGACAGCAGCGGGAACCACCGAGTCATATAGGAGTGTTAAAACACACCCCCCAGCGGGAGAGAAAAAGAGAACGCGAGAAGAGAAGAGAAAAAAACAAACACGTTTCTTTATGTTCAAAAGGACAGATGACAGACGTGTTTCTGACCCTGACGCTGGATGCACTTCCCTGTTGCACTGACCGTGCCACCTAAACATTAATTAAAGAGAGAAAGCGCTGGCAGGTGGCAGAAAAGCAGGATCTAATAATTGGCCCCCTTCTTCCCCGCGCCTTCAGAAAATCCAGGACTTCTAGCGAGATGTGCCACTGGGCAGAGAGAAAGGGGAAGAGAAAAAAAAGAAGAGATGAAGGCAGGAGTTTGAAATTCACAGAGATGGCCGGCGAATTGCGACGGACGTTTAATGTCACAGGGCAAGTTTGCAGAGAGCGTTTTTTGGGGATTCACGGCTGCGTCTGCTAATGATGAAGACAGAGGTGCGGTGTGTTCCTCTGACCAGAAAGAAACTGTTTGTTTAAATGTTCAGGTGGACGAAAAATAGAATGGGAGAAAATGGCAATCATATTTGTGTGTGTATTTGTGAATTTGAAACAGTGTGCTTAGAACAAAAGAAAACGGTAGAGAATGGAGAATGGTAATGTGTATGTGTGTGTGTGTGTGTGTAGGTTTACTTTTGCTACTTTAGGGACAACATTGTTCCCAGAACTTAGTAAAATTAGGGGAAACTTACCCTTTAGAGATATCCTCAAAAGTAAAAATAATTCTTAATATAATATATACATTCATACACACACACACACCATTTGACAAATCCTCCTTTTAGGGACATTATTTGAAACAAGGCTTCAAAAATAAAGTAAATATTATTTTTTAATTCTAAAAATACAAATAATTTTTGGAAGCTTTAAGGTTAGTCTGTAAAAATTATAAACGTGTATACATAAGTCTATGGTGAGTCCTCATTTACATGTCTAGGTAAACGTGTGTGTTGTTGTGGGACACTCACCACGTCACTGGGAAGCTTGTGCAGATCGTCTGTGGGGCTTTCCAGGGTGTTTGTGTCCACGTTCAGAATGACCACATCCTCCAGGGATCTGCCCTTTACTCTCTGGAAATGCAACACACTTTGTTACACACCGTCCTGACTATTCCCATTTCCTGTGACCGTTTTAATAACTTTACAATGTGATAAAAAAACAGTAGTTTATTTAAAGAATTTGTATAAACTTTTTGCAACAAAATTGTGAATGGTTAACAAACTGTAAACATATTTTCACAGTACTAATTTCCAGACTACTGATGATTCTCTATTTAGAGAACATATATTTTTTTCTTCAATGATGTCAAAACCTCCACATAAAGACTAAAGCAGGAAAGATTTAAATAGATTAAATTAACGATGCAAACACTGGATTCTCATAAATGAAACCACATGAAGCTTTTAAATTATGTTCTTAAAAAAAACTCTCCAAAAACATGTATGCACCTACAAAGACTCACAGAATCATTCTTGGTTGAGAGTCAAAATGTTTGAATCAATCAACACAGTTTAAAAAGAAATCATTTAGTACAACTGGAACGTTGTTTGTGAATAAATGACACATTAAAAAGCAGTAGAGCAAATGTTAAAAATACATTTTATATATACGTGTATGTATATATGTATAATTGTATTTGAAACATTTGCAACTATTATCAACTAATAATATATAACACCTAATCAAATAATAAAACTATTCAGGCATGTTGAATGAAGCACCGTGTTGAGCGGCGTAATGCTTCCACACAATGGTAGTCACGGTAGTGGCGACAAATCCAATAATTATTCCTCCAGTGCAGGTGGGGGAAACAGCCAAGTGTGTAAAAAAATTCTGGTTTGTCATTTTTGACAGTCGCTGCTACGGCGGCCCATGTGCTGATTTGGTCTAATTACGTGCAGCCGGATTGGGGAGGGAGGGTTGGAGGGGGGGGGGGGGGGGGCTGTCAGCGGGCGAACGTGTGATAAACACCAGCACTGGCGCGACTGTCAGCGCTATCAGATCTGCGCATGAAGCTATAGGTCTACCTCCAACCAACATGCCATTTCTCAATAACCGAACGCACCATCTCTTTGTTTCACCGGCTCTTTCATTTCTCTTGGGCGCCCCGGGAGATGAAAAGCAAAAAAACAATGTGTCAAATTTTGTAGGTTTCTCGGCGCTCGGTGATGATGCATCAAAGTAGATGGGCGTTATTAGCATCTCAGATGGTTGGAATCCAGAAGAGCGGTTGGTTTTAAATGACCCGGTGTGAAAAAAAAAAGTAAATAATGATGGTTTATGTAATATTGACTGGTGTGCTTCTGATCAAACTTTACTTTAAGGATGATGAACGGCTGCTGACGGAAGATTTATGTGACGTACCTCTAAAAGGCTGAGATGAACTCCGACCAGATATGGCATGGGCGCACTGGGAACAGAGACAAAACGCAGTCATTAGCAACATGAAAACAGCTTTATTGCATTTTAAAAATAGTCATAATTCAAGAAATGCGTTGGTTTCTCTCCAACGCCATGCAGATACAACGTAAAAATATTCAAGACGCAGCCGTACATTTTACAGAACAAGGCCAACAATTTCAAACGAAATAATAATAAACGAGGACCACCGTAAATTGACATATCTTTGACGCAGCATGCATCAGGAGCTAAACTTTAATGGCATCCTCGGCCGTTTCCCGGAACGAGCGCGTTTGAGCAGTGAAGGTGATTAGTGTAATTGGCGAGCGTCACTTTTGAGTCTCGGTGCAGAGTGGGGCGAGGCAGGGCCGTGTAATTAGATAGGTTTGGGTAGCCGCTACAGTGCTCGCTCAATCAGGTTATGTGGCTAATAAGCTGCAGTCTCCCTCACTGCATCTGTTAAGGCCATAGATTTAACTGACATGCAGGCATGCTGACACGCAGACACGCACGCACATGCACGGGGTGAGCCCTGTCACGTCATTGTTGTCCATGAGTGTAACTTTGTTATGACAGCCTAATTCCCATCATTTCTAATGGCGTTCATTATGAGCGATTGCACAGCCTTATAATATGATAATGCTCTTTTTTTTTGTATAATTAGATCGCTAAAATATGATAAATCACCTCGGATGCCGGTCCTGGAGTGGAAAACGGTGCTACTCTTAAAGCTAGATTTATATCAATGTTGTATTATTCGACCACAAATAGTTTCTAGTGTCAAGCATGGCAGCACAAGTCTGTCAATTTAAGGGTATAGGGTGTTCTGTTAGCTATACAGCAGGGCTGTAAGTTAAGAGTGTGGTCACGGTTTCAGCCCACAGTTGGCATACGGAAATCAGCCTGCCTCCCAACCCGTATATATATATGTTTCTGATGGCTAAAAAAAAGTAGATTGCATGCTGGACTTGTCGTGGTGGCATAATAAATCATGTCCTTCATAAACTCTTTGAGATCCCAAGATATGGTGAAAGATATTTATTAGGATGAGGGGTATTTCAGAAGGAAGTATTGCATGTTGTGAAACTATATTTTACTGATGGAGCGATAGAATATAATCGCCAGGCCAATTAATTGCCTAAAGTTTGGACGAATTTGGAGACTGTACCTGCTTGGCTGATTAACAGAAATCTGACCTATTCAAATTAGGTGAATTTTTAAGTGAAATATTGTGTAAATGAAAATGATAAAAAATCTATTTTGTATACAGACAGACAGACAGATAGATAGTCACAGACAGACAAAAGATAGTCACAGCCAGACAGACAGCCAGACAGATAGTCACAGACAGACATACAGACACATAGATAGATAGACAGATAGTCACACACAGACAGATAGACACAAACAGACAGACAGACACACACAGACAGACAGACAGACAGACAGACACAGACAGATATAGTCACAGGCAGAAAGGCAGACAAACAGTCACAGACAGACACAGTCACAGACAGAAAGACAGCTATATAAAATATAGACAGACAGATAATTAGACACAGAGAAACAGACAGACAGATAATCAGACAGACAGATTATAGACAGACAGACAGATATTTAATTAATCTAGATAGATATCTTTTTATTTATCTATCTGTCAATTTTTTTTTTTGACATTTCAATACATATTGGCTATATCTGTCATTAGGCAGAAAGAAACAAAAAATGTTCACAGACCTGACTGCCAAATGTTCCTGCTGCCTATTGGATGCTCATTATTAAATATTTTGGCTTAAGATGATAATGGTTTCGACATAGAATGCAGTAATATCAGCTTCCAATGCAATCCACAGAATTGCACAGATTTTCCCCAATCAGTGCACAAAACTTGGATTCCATGGGTACTGTCAAGATTTGCTTATGACGTACAAATCCAACTTCAATGTAAAAGCTGTACAAATTCCCTCAAAAAGGCCCAAAGCATAAAAATCATACAGCTCTAAAGCTCAAAAAGCGACAGCCCAAGCTTGAGTGAGATACAAATGAGAGAGACATTTGTGTGTTTAAGTGTGCAGATGAGCTCTTACCAGCAGTAATCCAGCAGGTGAGGAGGAAGTACAGGAATGAAGATGTGCTGCCAGTGCATAGGGTAGAGCATGGCGGTGGACCCTTGCACGCATGCAGTTAACTACGACAAATAAAGAAAAAGAAAAAAAGACGTGAGCTTCTTAATGTGACGGGCTCATCAATGAATACCCCATCACACTACAGGGGATTGCGTTTATTGTGGGCCAGGAGAGCAGGCTGTATAGTTATTCTTTTTATCCAAACATCACAAGCTGATTAAATGTGCTTTTTGGGGTTTTCTAATGTTAACAGCACGGGTTCAAATCCAAAATCGGGGCATCAATCAAGGGACTAAAAATACACACAAGGTGTCAAATGTGTAGCGTCTCCAGGACCGATACAAAATTAATGATGCTTTATTACTGTTATACACATGCACACAGTATACAATCTGACTCTACAAGAAGCAAGCACTTAATTATATCACTGGTGTGGATGTTTAATGAGTGAACACCCAAGTGACCCCTCACCACACCCTGATTCCCCCTCATGGCTACCTAGCAGTTGTAATGACCTGTGTGGCACACGCACACACGCCAGAGCTTCCTCATCTTCCAGATTAAAATAACATGATTAAATATGGAAAAAGAACAGAGGTCTGAAGGCTCCTCTGGGACTTCATTAGGGCAAATTGCCAAAGAATGAAACATGAGTTAGCCAAGAGAGACTGTGAGCTGTTGGAATACCACGGGGAGTAGGGGCTGGAAGAAGGGGTCTTGACAATTGGAGCTTCCAGTAATGTGTGTGAACCATGGCTCCGAAGTATCAAGAGACCCCCCTGCTCACTGACACACAATATCACAATTGACCACTGAAACCAACCAAGCTTGGCGGTGGCACAACAGCTCGCTTCAAAGAGATCTGTTTAAATCCGGAATCCCGTATGTATTCAACTGTGCGCGAGGTGTAAGGCTGGTTGCGTGTTGTTGTTGTTGTGCATTGAATTCTGTGACATTGTGTTCGAACGCAACCGCTCCAGATAAGACGTGACCTATCGAGTCAAGAAATAGTACAGCTTTAATTAACAGTAATTTAGTGCCATGCATTATAACATATGCAAATTTGTTGTGCAGTACTCTGAAAAGAACGAAAAGGCTTTAGTTGTGACAGATCTAATTTTGTTCAGGCAATTTAGAAGAAAGAAATGAATATTTATGGCATTTCTCACCAGTTGAAGTTTGGTTGATATCAAAGCTTTGAGACCCGTTCTGTTCGAGATCCTTTTTCTCAAGGTCCAATAAATGAATCATGCTGAGAGGTCATTGCACTGCAAAGAAACACTTTTCTTTGACTGCGAACAGACTGCCATCTAGTTTCTTAGAGGGGAACCCTTCCGTACCATGCAGAGATGGGTAAGAAAGCCTAATGGCGTATTCCAATTAATTCAACAATGTCCACAGACAAGCCCAATTGGCTTGATTTATTCTCGACTTGAAAGTAAAGCCGTGCCGTCTTCTTTCAAAGACGAGGGCACAAAAAGGAGGTGGCAAAACCTAGATAAACATTAAAAGGTGGAATTCAAAAACAAATTAACTCTTGATATTTTTCCCACAAAAGTTGTTTTGCTCACAACCGAGGGATTCATCATAAAGCACGCACGATCCTGCAAGAAAGTCAGTCGTGACCTCCTTTCTGTGACTAAAGAGAAAGTTCAGAATAACTGTATCGATGCCATTGAATCTCCAGTTGTACCCACAATGCACTGCTGGAGTGCTGCACCTAATAAAATATTTGGCGGTCTTATGAATAATTAATAAAGAAAGAAATGCCAAATAAAAAGAAAGCCAAATGGCCACAAAAGGCAAGGTATGCTTGATATTCCTTTGAATGAAGAAGTCATCCGCAAGAACAAATGCTGGATTACGGCTTGTTTGGATGCGGGGCTGCATCCTGCCGAGACCTGTGAGCTACCGCTGCCGTTAGCGATAATGAGCGTGCTGGGGACGTGTTAAGTGGGGGTCTTCTCTATGGAGACCAACCATAGAGCGGATTATACAAAGGGATCCGGCTTTGGAAATACAATAGACCCCAAAAAAACAATGATGCCATTATTAAGACTTCCAAAGTACACATGACACTGTCCTTTTATGAAGAATGGTTTAACAAATATGCAACATCAGTTTCATATCAAATATATGCCAAAATGAAATGAAATTATCACGCAAATTACTAGTGATAGGCTGATATTTCAAGCTGATCATCGAAAGAGAAATGTTACCCCCCCATGTCAGACCCAAACTATTGTATATGATGTGACCCTATCCTTTGATATTACATAAAAAAATCATGACACTCAAGGATGCACTGATTCGTTAACAAATTCATTAATTACCCTGTTTATTAAAAAGATGACGAGGCAAAAGATAACCATATAACAATTTGTACTGATAAGTAGCATGCTAGAAGACCTAGAAATAGATCTGCACCTTTCAGGAAAGGAAATAGAAGGATTTTGCCATCTTTGCTCAGCGAACTCTGGATTTGCCCAATCAGGTGACAGTCACATAACTCTCACTTCACAATCAAACCACATTCACACTCATCTCTAGGAGTACATTTGTACCATTTTGCCTTGCTGAGATATATTCCACAGATGAAGTATAAAGATATGCTTTGTAACACCTTTCCAGTGAACCCTGTCTATGTAAACAAGTTGACGAACATATTCCCTACATCTAGGGAGAAGCTGGGATTCAAAAATATCCATGGCAACTTCTCCAAGAATAGACAAAGACCAAAAAAAAAAAAAAGGTCCCGTTCTTTGATAAGCACAACAAAGCTCACAGTGGAATCTGTGATTGGGGCAGACTGGAGACTAGAGGTGCGATTCCCCCTGACAAGGGTGACAGCGCCGCAGTCTGCGCTGACTCCTGCTACCTGCGAGACTTCTCTCCCCTGGCCCTCTCCTTGTTTCCCAATTACCAAGCCTCGCTCTCCTCTCCTGTTGACAAACGCACGGCTCCGAGCGGGGCGCCGACACAGGTGTATCGCTAACAAGGCGGTGGCATTAAAAAAAGAAAAGGTAGAGGTAGGGCGCAGGGCGCCAAACACCACTAATCCACCTCCCACTGCAACACAATCTCACAAAGAAGAGAACAGGAAGTGCCGGAGGATGATAAAATGTCTATTAAAGGTGTGGTAAGAGAGATCCTTGAAGAAGGAATGAAAATAAGACGGCATTGCTGAGTAGAGAGTAAAAAAGCGAAGAGTGGGGCCGAAAGGAACCTCAGTGGCTAGCACCACAGGCCAAGACAGGATCGGGTCTTGTTAGCATACCACTGACAGCATGATGAGAAGGCGGCTGTCAAGACTCGGGGCCGGCCGAGGGGGTCTCGCAGATGAAACGCGCCAGGGCCTCCCAGTTGACTAGTTAGAGGGATCCTGATGCAGCACAATTATACTGGCATATGACAAGACTGCATGGGCGGCTGCCTCCCAGAGCCTGCGACATGGTTTTAAAACAGTGGTACTCCTTACCTCTGGTCACAAAACAGCAATAAGTCAACTGATGCATTGTTGTTAGATCATGATTTATTCCTTTGCTTTCCAATACAGGCAAGTGTGCGGCCATGTTCTGCTAGACTGACACAGCAGGTTCACTGGGGGCCCGAACACTCAGGGTCCACTGGCAGCATACATAATGGATTCCCTCTTTTCCTCTTTCCTTCTCTTTCTTTATCCCGTTGGCTGGCTAGAGAAACTGTAGCGGTAGGCTGACCACACCCTGGACACTGCCATATGCCCTCTCAGAACATTTCAGAAATTGGCCATATGTCTGTATTTGCAAAATTGTCTGTGTGTGTGTCTTCCTATAGTTGCTTGGAACTCCCAAAGCTCTAGAGAAGAAGACGGATGGTTTCCGGATTTGAGATGATGAAAGTCTTCGCTGAGGTGGAACCTTAATATCACTAGTCTTCGTAGTAACTCTTTTGGCATATTAGTTTCATAAACTCAAGGTCGCTCATGCTCCCATTCTGCAAAACAGTAAATCTTGTTATGAGATAGTAAAAAAAAAACTATTTTCCCAAGAGACTAATGATTTGCACATTCTAACCCCTCGTGTCAGTGAGCACACGGAATGAAGGCGGCAGCCCGGAGGAGTGAAATACTCTGTGGATAGGGTCATTCCGACAGCCTCCTCCGGAGCCAGAGGGTCCAAGGGGAGCCCCTCGGTTCCGGCACTGTCGGCGAGCGCAACGCAGATGCTCTAGGGGGGAATCGGAGCGAGATAGGGAGCGAATGACATCACTCGCCGCTTCTCCAACTGTCGTGAAAGTTTGGACCATCGTCCGCCCCCATGCGATAAGCGCCCACTCCCTTTTTCAGGCAAGAAGAGCCAGAAAGAAAATATGTGAAAGAGTCAGGGATCCAAATAAGTGATAATTTAAAGCTAACAGACTTGACTGCGCATAAGCCCAGAGAAATACCCAAAATGACAAAACAGTGAGAGCTGAATCAGTGTACAGGAATTTTTTTAAAACGTTTTAGATCATTTTTTATCTAAAGTTCAATTAATGAGAAACAGGTCATCTACATAAGTTTTTTATTATGATGTGCATGAGGTAGTTGACGATGCCCAGCCCTAGATAAGATCTACATAATACAGTCTATGATTCTGCATCTTCCACCTTGAGAAAGGTTTCAAGTCTTGTGGGGAAAGAAAAAAAAACATACAACAAATGATTCCATCGCACATCATGTTAATTGGAAACATATACGATAAAACATTTCTTTACATGCAATTGTTCCCAAAAGACCTACTTTAAATTATTGTATAAAAACAACATATATTAATATTTTTTAAGTAAGAAGAAAGCTGTCTGATGTGTAAATGAGAACGACATCAGAAACTCACAGTGCTAAGCTTGCTTGAGGTAATGATGATGCGTCGCTCGTGCAGCATGCTGGCGTAGAGGTGCAACATGTTGTTCACATCCACTGCTACAAAGTACTCAGTTAAATTTCTCTAGGAGGAGAAAAAATTCTGTTGATTAAGACGCATTTGGACACACCTAAAAATGTATATATTTAGGCCCGGTTTCACAGACAGGGGCTTAGATTAAGGATTAGGCCTTAGTTCAATTAGAACATTTAAGTAGCTTTTATAAATGTGCATTGGGGAAAAAAACATTACTGGTGTGCATCTTGAGACAAAACAATGGCACTGACATATTTTAAAAACAGCTTAAACATGAATTTTAGTCTGGGACTACAGTAGGCTTAAGCCTAAGCTTTTTTTCATGTTTTGTTTTGTTTCATTTCATGTTTTGGTTTGTTTTATTTTCTGCTTCATGCTTTGCTTCATGTTTAGTTTTTCTCATAGTCACTTGATTTAATATGAAGTGCAATGCCATTCATACTGTACATTAAGTGTGGCTTTATTTTTGGGGCCTCTGTATTTGTAACTGGGTTAAACATACTCACACTTTCAGGTATGGTGGGGAGTCCATTAATGTCAGGAGCTATGAAGTATGAATGCTGCAGAAAACAGACAAGAAAAGATGAAGAAAAGGTCACCATTTTGCAACCAGCCAGTATTTAGTGTTTATAGACACTTTAACTTACTGTCTGTTCCACAACCAATAAATAAACCACGATTGGCCTGAACTGTGTCTAAGCTTGTTAACATCATACATACAGACAACAGATACGGATACATGAAGTCAACAAACGCCGATCCCCTATGGACACTACCGGAGGAGGCTCCCCGCATCGGAAAGAATGTCTTTATTAAGGTACAAAAGCCAACTGCTCTGTTCTGACAGTATCAGAGGGGTCTGCCAGGCGTACGTTTGAACAGGCGAGCAAGTTTAATGTCTGGATCAAAGAGGCTCCGAAGCAAAGATCCCACGCTGCTTGCTAACTTTAGCACTTTTTGTTTGCATGTGTGGAGCGCTCTGCTCTTTCCCAATGCTGGGTGGCGATTCGTCGTGCGTAAAGAGTTCCCATCTGTTGCTCAACACATTGGTTCAACTTTTGCTGCCTTCGCGTATGTTCCACAAACAAATGCAAGTGCAACTAGCATCCTCTAATACTCAAAAGATGTCAAATATTTATCTTGGACGCTGTGATCACATGACTCGAGCAATCAAACCAAGTGCTGTGCAATGTCAAAACAATTTATCTGGGCTCTATGTGTGTGTCCAGAGTACTTTTGCTATAATCGTACGAACGTAAACAGTTTGAAGATATCAATAAAGCAGAGTGACCAAGTCTTCTTCATGTGCTGACATGTGTTTATTTTCCCATACCGAGCAGCTGACTGCCCTCCATGTCGTGGACTACAGTTCCAGCTGGCGGTGGCCAACACTTTGCAGCCGTGTTTATAAAAATCACACATTATCAGAGCGCTTGTTATCACCACGCTCTGCCTGCTGCTCCCTGTAGTGTGATCAGAATCCCAGACCCTGCACCCAACACCAGTCCTCAGCACACATCTGATTGAAACATTACTCCCCACACAGTGCTGATTCAAACCTCTCCTATCATCAAGACCCTCTTCCCAAATTCCAAAAGTTTTCATTCTGCTAATCATTTTAACTTCAGAGATGTTAAAGCAGAACATGACGGTGATTAGTGAACCCACCACCGGCTGGAAGGCGGTACGGGTAACTCCAAGAAACCCCTTCGGATGACCTGATGGGCTTTTAGATTGTAGGCTAAGGTCAAATTCTTGATAACTGATGCTGAGTAATAGCAAGCTTAATATCTAGTGATGTCAACTTATTGTATTTAATATAGTGTGATAAATAAATGTTTTTTGGGACATATATGTATACACACACATTGAATATTTTCGCTCTGAGGTGTCTAAATAAAGCTTCAAAATATACATTTCTCATACATATACAACATTCTAGGAATAGAGTCGGAACATGATCTTATAAAGTGTTACAGCTTGAAAAAAATAAAACAGCATGATGTTTAAATACAATGCTGTTGAGCAGATATTCAAGGGTGTTTTTTATGTAGGCTAATGGGCAGAGCATCAATGAGATTTCTTGAGCATAACTGCCTTTTGCTTAAAAAATAAATTAAATAAATAAATCAAATGTTTGATATTTGAAAAGAGAATTCAGCAGCATGGAAGAGCATGAATCATTTAGCAAGTTTGATTGTTTTCCAGACAAGAAAACAAAAAAAGAACTGACAACAAGACCCAGGATGGGTTTTTGCCATATTTTATAAAAAGAATAGAGATGGATTATTTGGCAAAATTGGAAAGCTGTCTCCCATGTGATTAGGCCAACGGCTCCAAATTTCAGAACTGCCCCATTCTCTCTCTCTCTCTCTCTCTCTCTCTCTCTTCATCCCTTTCCCTTCAGCACACTCTCTCCCCACTCACCGACTGTCTGCTTCCTGGATCTTGCACTATTTGCCCATAGGCAAAATGTAAGTGGTTGCTCTTGCAAAAATGAAGGAAAGAATATAGATGGATTAGATGGAGAGATCAAACATATAAACATACATAAAGACAGACAGAGACTGCAAAAAAACTGACATAGACTGCAAAATATTGACATATAGAAATTGGATGGATGGACTGATAGACATACAGACAGACAGATGGATAGATGGATAGTCTGTCATTGACTGGCAGCTGTTTAAGACGGTGGTAACCAATGGTTGCTGCTGGATATGATTTGCAAAAGTGGTCATTAGGTTTAACACTGTCCAGCCGTCACTTATCAGAGCAAAAGGCCGGCGGTCCCACTTCTGTTTCTAAACAAACCGTTATTCCTCCCCAGTACCTACCACACTCAGATTTACTGGCGTATTCGGCTTTGGCACAGGGTGGTTGTGCAGCGTTTCCAACATGTCGTTCAAGTCATCTTCCTGTGAGGACAAAAAAAGAAAAAAAAGAGGCTAATATGAAAAACAAACAAACAAGAAAAATGCACTAAATGAGCTCCCCAAAAAAAACAAAAAACGCAAACTGCAAAGAGATTCTATGATTTAAGTATTCCTACAGCGGTCTACGGAAGAGAAATATATCCGACTGACACACATTTAACGAGCGATCCTGAGGTTAAGAGACGGTAAGCTAGGCTGCGGCAGACGCTTATTATTCTGGGGATGATTTATGGCAAACATTGGCTGTTCGTAATTAACCAAAGGTCCTTGCTCAGAGCGGGCGGCTTTAAGAAGCCATTGGAGAAAAGCTTTGCCACAAAACAGGCCTCAGGATTACAACGCCGAGGTTTTACGAGCTTTTATGACAAGAGTGCAATTTACCCTCTCAAACTTGCTGTAGAATAGCGATGCTGCTGCTGTTAAAACAAAGTCTGACATCGAATAGTTAGGCACATATTTAGATATGGCCTTTCCTTGTAAGCAAGTTCCCAGATTAGCTATCTGGCCAGTGCTTGCAGCGTATATGGCCGTGTGTTTGTACATATGTGTGTGCGGGGGTGTGTGAGCTGCTGTCACGAGAGCCTGGATGCTCACACGCATGGTCAGTAACACAGCCTGAGGAAACACTTCATTTACCCTCGCCATAAACCTTCATCGCTCTTGTCCTTCCTCGTCAGTCAACGCTGCCTCACGCGGAACGGAACGCCAAAAGTCAACCCGATCATGCTTGCTTGCTCAAAGAATTCATTTACGCGTCCTAGAGTTTAGCTTTTGTTGGATAGTTTGGAAGGGAGAAAATGAGTAAAATGTGGAAATGTAAACGGTTCATAAATTCATTCGTGTATAAATGTATGCATTGAATTAAATGCAACCAATTACTTGATAATGAATTTGACTCATTTGTTGTGCTCACGTTTCATAAAGAAGACCCATTACGGAAACTGTTGCATTTAATGCACATTTTGGTGTAAACCGTTAGTAAAACTGTTTTTTTTTTTTTTTTTTTTTTTTTTTTACAGACAGACATGCAGACCAAAATAGTGCAGTAACGAACAATCTAGTAATTCCATAATTCCAGAAGTGAAATAAAAGTGTGTAAATGTATAGGTGTGTGTGGGTGGCTGTGAGTGTGGGTGTGTGTATGCATAAGCAAAGTAACCATTTATTATTTATTACCACCATCATTACCATCACCACCACCACTCCTCACTACCATCATACTGCCAACATTGTATTAGTCAATTTTTATTTTTAGTAAAACTGTTCTTATGTTAACTGAAAAAGTGTAAAAAAACAATTTTAATTTAAAATTTATGAGTAAATCCTTTATGAAAACATTATTACATGAATTGATGCATTTACTGCACATTTCTGTGCAAATAATTAGTAAAAACGTTCTTGTGTAAATTGCAGCATTTAATGCAAATTTCTGTCTAAATTGTACATAAAAACAATTTTCATTTCAAATATGTGTGTAAATCTTTCATGAAACCACTCTTACATAAATTGCTGCATTTACTGCAAATTTCTGTGCAAATTCATAAAAATGTTCTTATATAAATTGTCATATTTAATGCAAATTTCTGTCTAAATTGTACATAAAAACTATTTAAAATGTATGTGTAAATCTTTCATGAAACCATTCTTACATAAATTGTTGCATTTAGTGCAAATCTCTGTGCAAATCATTCGTTTTCACATAAAATTATCACACACAATGAAAATACTTACAAAGTGCATACTTCCTAAAACTATTCTTGCCTAAAATGCCGCATGTAATGCAAATTTCTGCGCAAATTGGTCATAAAATCATTTTGAAATAAATTGTTGCACTGATGAACAATACGCTGTGTACTGCTTAAAAATATATTAAAAATATATATTATAAATATATATGTTTGCATTATGTGTACTGTGTTTATTTGTATTAAGAACTTATTTGAACAGGCAGCACCTTTTTCCCCAAAAGAAACCATTCTGAATTGCATCCATTCAATCTGTGAAGCTAAAGGTCTTTGAAAGTTGCACTAAATAAGAAATGGCTTCAATTTAAAAAGAAAGAATGTACTTTACATAACGAACAAACATGGAATTTGGAGAACGAGGGGAAACTCTTTTCTTTGGGGTTTAAAAAAAGAAAAAAAAAAGGATACTTTTGTTAGTGCAATGGGTCGATGACACAGAGCATCTTACGGCTTAATTCCTGACCCCTGTGAGTCCCAGTGTACTTAGCCCATGATTTGTTTGTGTAGCGGAGGCTTGGTCTTCTTCACTTCTCTTTCAGCGGCTCCCTTACACATAACTGAATGATAAGAGACTGATAGAGAAACGCTGAGCACTTCAGTTACTCGCTGGCTCCACACAAACTCTGTTTTTCATTTGATGTTAGCTTAATATTTTCATCCCTTTTTCCTAATTCAAACTTTTCTTCGTCTCCTACTGCTGTGAAACTTTCAGAAAGGGAGAAGAAGAAAAAAAACGATTTGGCACAGTGTATTTCCTGACAATTTGTTTTCCCGTATATCATAAGGACTGACTTCCTGTTCGATGCTCGGTCTGTTAAATGTCAACAACACTGCAAAGCAAAGCGCAACCAACCAACTGTGCTTGTTTCGCTGAGATGGATTATAGATGACGTTTTTCTTTCTCCTTTGTCTTTGCACAAAAAAAAAACACTCAAGTTTTGCTTTGCAGTGGCACTTTTGGCTCACAAGCTGGATGGCAGGAACGTGGGTAATTTCGATGCTGTTTGTGACATTAGCAGTTTGCTCAATAGGGGGTCCGGCTAGGCGCAATCAGCCACAAAGAAGAAGCGGCCTCACAGAGGAAACTTTTTTTTACAGTTACAAATGTTTACAGTTCAGCATAACTAAACTTTCAGATACTGTTTGATCTGTTTACATTCTGAAATTTTAACGAGAGACTGAAGACGTCTCTTTACTTACCTAAGATATATATATATATAGATATATATATATAGATATATATATATATATATAATGACATTTAATGTGAGTTTTATGTAAATATTTCATAAAACCATTCTTATGTATTACAATTTAGCTATTTTTCCCTCTTACCTTTTTGCTCAAGTCTTCCCTTACCTTATCTAATGTTTCGATACGTTTTAAAAAGTTTCCCAGTTTAATTCAACTGCATCAAATGTGATAATGTGTAAATTTGTTCATTAAACCGTTCTCAAATTATCACATTTAATGTGAATTTCATAAAGTTGCAGTGAAGTTTAATTTTTCTCATTTGAAGACAAGCTGACGACTTTGTGTTTTAAAGTAAGTCTGTAGTTAAAAATATGCATATATCAACTTTTTTAATGAACAATTTTTCCATAAATTATCAGATTTAATGCAACAACAAAAAAACATTCCTGCGTATTGTTATAGTGTTGAAGTTGGAGATTTCCCTTAACTTACCTGGTGTTTTGATAAGTAGTCTGCAAAGGTATTTAGCAGCTTATAGTAAATCTCAAACCATGGGAGATAGCTGTCAAAAAAAGAAGGAAAAACATACATTACACAAATATTACAGAATACTTTACAAGAAAAAGCTATAAACACTGTATCACTGTAGCCCCATTCAAAAGGGCGATTCTTCCACACCTTCATGTCTACACCAGACGCGACAAATCGACCGTTGCAAATCCATTTGTTATTCATGTCAGAAGCGCGAGGAGTACAAGTACATCAGAATTAGAACGGGGAATCAGTTTATCGTCAGGGATTTGTCGCGCCGCATCCAGTGTAGACAGCATCAGATTATAATGGGTTCTTAGAACAAAATATGCAAAAAGTGCTACTGGGGTATAAAGTCCGTATCTCGGTTCTCTTTGGATGGGGGATAGTTCAACTTGCAAAAATCATAAGAGGCCAAGGCACTCAGCCTTTAATCATTTAGAAAAAAATATATAAAAAGCATTTATTTATTCATGACTATAACATTTTAAAACATACAGATATATCCGCACACCAATGCATAGCGGCCTTCATCAAAACGCCTTCATCAGGGTATGATAACATACCTTTAACTGCAAACAATTAGTCGTATGACATAGCACACCTGATAAGGATTTTCTCGAGGGGAAATTTAAATCTTAAACAATATCGAGAGAATCTATAAATTCAAAACACATTTAAATCAAATTCAATGTAGTCCCAATACACCAGCGATCTATAACATCAAAATATAATTAGTGCCGTCGAATCGATTAATCGCATCTAACATAAAACTCTTTGTTTACATAATATGCGTGTATGTTTATTATATATGTGTATATATATATATATATATATATTATATTTATATATATATATATATATATATAATATATATATGTGTGTGTATATAAGTATATATACACAGACACACACATATATAATATATATATAAATATAATATATATATACACATATATTATGTAAACAAAAAACTTTTATGTTAGATGCGATTAATCGATTTGACAGCACTACTGATTATATAAAAAATCCACTAATAGCCACTAAATATATATATATATATATATATATATATATATATATTTATTATCAGACGCAATATATCGGGAAAAAATACAATTATAATGGGTTCTACTTGCTTTTATCGTGTTGTGTCGTTCGCGTTTGTTCTAGACACGGTGTTAAGACTTCCTTAAGCATTTTCAGCTAATATGAACCTTATTATCACATTCTTGGTAATCGCTGACACTTGCATTTTAAACATTCCAGCCACGGCGCGGGCTAAATAAAAGTATTTGGTTTCTTCAACAAAAACATGACTGGACCACTGTAGCCTGTAATAAACCAGGGATGGGATGGTTTACAAGCATGCTGCACCCAGATGCACAACCTGAACCTCATTGTCGTACATTAAGTCACTACATATGTCACTACTCTCTTTTTTTTTCAAAACTAATTCACCAGCAGGAGTAAAAAAATAAATTGAAAAAAACTCACACCTTATCAATGTGTATTAACTAATCACACAATGACTAGCCAAGAGTATCTGCAACATTGTGTGTGTTGCAGCCTGACAGAATCTTGGCAAAGTTGACAGGCCTTTAAAGATGGAACGCGGCCAATGTGTTGTTTTGGCTTGAAGGTTGCAAGAACACACACACCATTTATTTTGTTATGCAATCTAGTGAAAAAATGCGGCCTGCTAGCGGGCTCTGACTTTTCCTTTCCCGGTATGTGGGCGTGATTACAACATGCAATTCAACTCGGTCTGAAATCTCACACTTAACCAAGAGCGATTACATCAGCTATTCTTTTCCAACGCAGAGCTTTGACTTTTGTTTGTCGCTACTGCTTGATTGCTTTAATTGGCTATAATGTAGGAAAAGAAGAAGCTTGAATTAATGGATAACGGGGAATGAGGTACTTTTTGAAGAAGAAAAAGCAAAAAAAGGTTTCATATCGTCTGATCTCAGTTGACCCACAGAGCACACAGTGTCTTGATTAGAGGTTTTTTTTTTCCCTTTTTATCCTTCCATGGGTCAGTGAGCTCTCCAGCAGACTGGAATTAACAGACAACAAAAAAACACAACTAAGTGTATCTAATGCAAATTTTCATATTGCCGAATGCGTAGAAAGGGGCCAGTGGCACGCCGTTCCCAGGGACGTGCGCTCAAGCGTGAGAGTTTCAAGTCTGGGTGACCATTAGCCTAAAACAATCATCTCTTAACATGCCAATATTTTGACGTGCATGACGATGTTCCTAAACCAGGTCACACTATTCTAAATTAAATGCATCTATGCAAATTGCAGACGGGCGAGAAAAATGATCCATGGCCTGGATTGCGGTGTTTTGGTTAGCATGACGCGTTGTTTGAAAGCTCGTAATTGACCGACACCTTCCTCAAGCTGCATTGCACAACAAAGAAAAAAAAATCATTATCTCTCTCTTGCTCACTCTTTGTTTAAAATGTGAGGCTCCTGGATGCTAATCCTTCATTTTTCACATGTGAAGGGGATTTAAACGGGAGCCTCTCCTTGTCAGAAAAGCACGGCAGGCCTTGGAGAGCACAAACACTCATTATACTCTTAAATGAGAGCATGTAAATCTTTTGTATTAAAGTCAAATAAATCACTGTTCTATAAGCAGCATACTTGTGTTTATGAAGACATCCAGGGAGGAATACCTTTCACAAAATTCTGGATTCATTTTTTTATTTTTAAGTCATAAAGCAGAAGCAGTACATTTTGCTTTTGTTTTAACTTTTTTTTTTTTTTATAGGCTGAGGGGAGCACGGCACCCCAGCCCAATCTCTTCACAGCTAGTAAGTAAAAATGTGTTTGTATTCGGCAAATCCTCTGATAGAGGAACATTCATCATGCTGAACTGTGCTGAGACGAGCCAATCTCAACGGCCCTTTTAGGTTCTCTAGCGCCGTGTGTACTTGGAGAGTAAACCAACTTATCTGTGGCTTACTGGCAATCCCTAACAAACTCAAGCTCCTTGCTTCCACAGTCAGAAGCATCAGATAAGCTTGAGCAAATGGTTTGATAGCTGGAAAAAAAGAGAGACAGAAACTGACCACCAATGAATGAGAGAATGTGTGGGTCATGACACAGTTAGAAAAGATGAATTTGTATTTTCAAGAGTTAAGTGTGAGCTACTTAAGTACTTCTACTGAGCTGAAACTTAAATAAAACCCTGCAACTGCACTGTAAAAAATTATGATTAATAAGTTATGACCACATATATATTTTTTTACATTACTTTAGCTCATCAAAATAAGTTGAGCAGTTTTTAGCTGTTTTTATAAGTTATACAAGACTCAACTCATTTTTTTAAAGTCAGTTTAATGCAATTTAAGTTGAAATGTACTTGAAAATTTAAGTCAGCAACTTTTTAGTTATAAAAAAAAAAAAAAAAAAAAAAAAAATCTTAGACCACACTGAAAATCTGGGATCTAAAACCTGGAAATAGAAAGACAGTTTTAGTATTTAAATATATATATATATAGTATAAAAACATAATAAAATATGAAATATTCTGTACTATTTCTAGGTAAAGGGGGAAATCAAATCATTATTTTTTCAATTTAACTTCTGAAAACAAATTGCTTCTATTATTAATTAATAACAATAAAAAATATTTTGGCTGATTTAGAACAATCTCACTAGTGGTCTCAGACTTTAGAATCCCACTATAAATCAATCTAAACTCATATTATGTATTTATGAAGTTTTACACTGCATGCATGGTCTTTGGATTGTCTTGTACGCCTTAAATCAACATGCGTCCTAAATCATCAGAGGTATTTAGGAGCTTTAAAATCAAGTCAGCTTGCACCTTGTATCCTTCCCAGGATGAGATATGATTACACCCTGACTTTTCCTGAGTTTTATGTTCAGCTAAGGAAAAGAAATATCCCTAAATGACCACTAACTGAAGAAAACTTCTGCCGTCTGAGGAAGACGCCAAGTCGGGTCCCAGCCATCAAATAAAACCGGCGAGAGGGAGAGAGAGAGGGTCTATTTCATCTGGGGTCTCGCAGATGTCCGAAGGCTATGTGCTCAGAGTGTCCGAGGGCCGAATGGGCAGAGAGGGTGGGGTAAAACGGAACGCTTGTGTTTTTGAAGTGGTTTGGCCCCAAGGAACCCTGGCCTATTTGGCCTGGGCTAAACCTGCAAAGCTACAAAGGGCTGTCCACATAAAACTGTCCCTCTCATTAGGCAACTTCCTTGTGTAAGCTTAGGTGACAATTTTATGGTCCCAGCACTTCAACAATCACAAGGACACAAACTGTTTTAATTACTTTTCTTTTATATTCTGGTGGAGAGTGTAAATGAGTGTGAATAAGAAAAAGTCTTACCTTACAAAAATCTCAAATTATATATATATGTATACTACAATTTTAGTATATATATATATATATATATATATTTATGTATATGTTGAACTTTTTATATAAACTGATATAGAAATAATTGTGAGTGTGTGTATAAGACTTCAATACATCAAGACATACGTCAATACATATACATAGTTTCAAATGTTATATATAAACATAAAATCTAAATAAAAGGGGGTAGAATAACAAAACTTTCTTTAGGTCTTCTGTTAAGTTTCTCCAAGTTATTTCCAAATAGATGACAAACAAAAGAAGTCTTGGGTCTTAATGAAAAAAAAAATGAAAAAAACTTTCAAATGCATTTCTTAATATGAATGAAGGAAGCCATGCAAACTACTCAGAATGCATAATGAATTTTATACATCATATGTCAAATGAATTAGCATGTAAAACTCAGTGAAAGGGACAGGGGAGACTCTTGCTAATTGGCAGCAGGGCTTTATGCATAATTATTGGTGAACCGTCTCCGGCATGCCTCTGTGCCTGAATAACGAGTGGAGAGAAAGAGAGAAAAACACACACACACACACACACACACACACACACACACACACATACACAAAACAAAGGCCATCCTGGCTGGGACGGGAGGAGGAGAGATCTCGACAGCAGCTCATCATGACGATGATAAACCTGCGATTGTCCATCAATACCGTGTAGACGGAGAGGGAAACAATGTGATATGTCCCAGTTGAGCTGCTCTGAATTACTAAATGACTTTGTATTATTAAATACACTGGTTTAGCGTTTATGCAACAGTAACAGTCTTCTATCTGCTGCTTTAAACTGAAAATATGAAAGCATATGAAATCATATTATGATCTAAAAATACAAACAAAAGGAGTATTTTTATCCGTGTTTATTATTATTTCATATAAGTGAAGTATTTTTGGTTTCAAATCCCTTTATTTCAGAATCTATAATTCATCTGGAGTTGGTTTCCCTTAAACAGGAAAATGGACATGGAATTTTTCAAGAAATGGCCTAATGAATTGATAGACTACATCAAACTATAAATCCGTAATATATTATTAATAATAAAAACAGACAGCAAATGGTCAAAATTCTAATAACTAATTATGCACTTTAAAAAGTGCATAAATAAACAAACAATCCATTCTGACATTAGTAATGATAATCTCTTACCTGAGCAAACAGATGCAGACCCTGCCGCCGGACGTCAGCCGACAGAAACCAAACCTCTGCTTGCTCTCAATGTCTGTGAGCACAAACGTGAAGTTCTGGCCCACCTGAGTCTGGGACACTCTTCAGTTCACCATAAAGAGAGGAAAAAACAAGTTTGACATTAATCTTTTATCAAACTGTTCACTTGAATTATATTTGATGGAATGGAATATTAACCAGCGACTGTAACTTTTAGCATTATCGTAATCATAAAAGAGCAAAATTCACTCATATCTGATGTAAAATATCAGAAAAGCTATCAAAAAAAAAAAACTCACATGAACAAAAACTTGCTGTAAACATTCTACATGCATTCACTAATTTCATATCCATTTGGCAGCAGAAAGATTGTATCACATTTAAGGTTGTAAGAACTAAACAAATGGTGACAGTGTCGTTTATCTCCACTAGATGGCAGCAAGAAAGCTTCAGCTGGAAGGAAGTGAACTTCTCCACACAGCACATCAACCATACAACGGCACTTTCCATTTTTCATTTCCAAGAGCAAACAAGCCAACACACACACAGTGCTGTTTATTCAGGAGACGTGTCTAACATCATGCCAGTTAGGAGAGACATGCAAACACATTGTCTACTGGGGGGGCGGAGATCTTAATTTCTATAAAGGCGTTTTATTTCTCCGGACCTCTAAGTGAAGGGTCTGACATTAGAGACCAGTACTACTGGAACCAAAGGAGGTGTGCGGCTCCTCCCTGCGAGTCATTTACGACAGCCTCTTAAACGTGTGAAAGAGTGTTGTATAAACAAACATCCTAATTTTTCCAAAATCACACATCAATTGATTTATTTTCTGGAAGCATGAGGGATGTCCTACCTTTCTACGTCAAATGGGAAACAGAACTTAGGCACTGTCTGCAGGACCTCCTGAAAAAAGAAACAAAAAGAGACATTATGGGTCATTCAAATCATGTCAATTACGGTAATTTAAGGATAAGCCTTAATTATTGACTTAACGATAAAGACATGACAAGATATGATAAAGAGGATTGTGTGACAAACCGAGATCTTGCCAGGTTGTTGCTAATGTGTTCTGAGTGTTTTAGTGCAATGCTAAAAGGTTGCATATTGCCAACTTCATGTCTCTATGATATTCTGGTGCTCAGATAGGGCGCTAATGTATGTCTAAAGAATTTGTCTGCCAGGTGAAAATCATAAGTGCAATTGATTAGAAAAGTAAAAACACATTTTCTCAACAAACTGCATACTGTGTTAATCAAATGAAACGACTTAATTTGAAATGTATAATTCTTTAAGCAGATCATTAACCGGCAAACAAACAAGCAAACAAATGTATTTACGTTTTTAGCGCATTAAATGGTTGCTTGGTGGCTGCGTATTGTCTCAAGTCAAAAGAGCCCAACTCCACGTTTCTGTGATATTCTGCTCATACGGTTCTAATGTAAGTCTAGGGGACTTTTCACCCGTTTTATTTATTTTGTCTGCCAGATGAAAATCATGAGTTCAATTGATTCGAAAAGGGAAATCACATCTCTTTTCTCAAACATGATGCTATAGGTGTAAATCAGTTTCAAATAACTATTCATTAAGCGGAACAGTAGCTGGCAAACAAATGAGCAAACGAATGGATTTAAAGGGAAACGACACCAAGCTGACGTAAAGGGGAGGGCGTTCAGAGGCTAAAATAATTAGCGGCCATTAGCTCATTGATCGTTTCGCTTGAGGTGTGGGGACGACGGAGGTGACGGCAGATTGTTGGAACAATGGCTGAGCCGCACTAGGGGTTCAGAGGAGGTGCAGAAAGGATAGGAGGGGGGGCGAAAGTAGGCCCAGCCTTTGGGGCTTTACCTTCCCGCACAGCCCCAGAGGGAGAGTCCTAGCACCAGCAGCATATGGATTTCCATAGCCATATGGGTTAGCCACGTCTGGCCAGTCCTGCACTGTAGACTAGCCATGGGGAACTGCCAGTGATCCCCTGCTCAAAGTATAACAAGCTGCGACCATTCAGATGAATGGTGCCGATGTTTTTTGGGGCAGCTGGGTAGTTCAAAAGCGGCTTCCATACCCGTACCTGCACTTTTAAACAAAATTAATCATTCAGCGTGCATGTATGTGCGCCAGCCTGCGAGGGTGTCTGTTTTATTTGCGTATATATGCATATGCGGCGTGGATGATGACTGGTTGCTGCTCTCGGTGGGAGGCGGTGGTGCTGATGGGGGAAGACAGAGTGAGAGAGTTAGTATGTGATACAGAGAGCGGCGAGGAGATTGAAGGCTCTGGCAGGCGAGAGAGGAACGTTGGCAGCGGCAGAAACATCCTCGCCGTGTCGTGGCGCGGCGGATGACTGTACGGCACTAAAGCTGTCACGCGAACGCAAGCCTGATGCTGCCGTATGTGACTGCTACTATCATTAACTCCTATAGGCGCTTCCCCCGAGTGTTTATGCCAAGCTGCGCCACGCATTTGCAGAAGTGTATGCAAACGGATGCAACACAAATAAAATTGTCTCCTTCGCAGATGCAGAAGTTGTCGCCGGTCCCACACTGGCCTGCTTGACGCCAGTCAATGCTGGTCCCTGCTGTCAATCCGAGTTGCTAGACAGGATCTAGCAACCCAATTCATACTGGATTTTATATTCAGACTAGATTTTTTGATGAATGAATGCATTCATAATGCCATGTCACTTGAAACAATCTAAATAATTAAATAAACACAAAAAAAGCCATGATTAAGACCACAGAAACTTCAAAGCCTACGCCTTTTTAACTCCTTTCATTAAATGTCAACATGAAATGGCATTTGCAACAATTTGTACTTTCTAACTGTGACAATTTGTAAAAATAAATAAATACATAGGGAGAACTTGATAAGTGGTCTCGATATAATAGATGCTAAGAGGGAAAACATTTTTTTTTTGCTTTTGTCCATACAATGAAAGTCAATGGGGTCCAAAAAAAATCATCGTATTTATTCTCCATGCTCTGCAAGTCATTCAGGTTTGGAACGAAATTAAGGTGAGTACGTTTTTCGGTTGAATTGTCCCCTTTAAATGAACGGTTGGTTATGTCAGGCAAAAAAAAAAAAAACTTGTTTCAGGGTGTAACAGGTTGTGATGAAACATTACAAAGACATTTATTTAAACTCAAACTAGCAGAAAAGTGCATTAAAGTACATTTTGATTGTATATTGACTTCAAGTGATTTTCGATCCCATTCATATCCATTAAACCTGAGCCACTTGGCTTCCGGCATCCGAGTGAAACATTCTCATGATTCTCCTCAAGGTTTTAGTAGATCTAAATCTCTGTACGCATGTGCATTACACACCTCTTTCTCTCAGAGTTTTATTACTATTCATCCAGGTGATCGGGGGACTACACCAAAGCGTGCTCTGGGAGGATAGTCAGATCGTGTGAAGAGGTGGAACGTGAGTTGCTATCGTTCCTGTTGTTTGGTTGTACTGTTTTCCCCTTTCTCTGCCTCCCTCCCAACCATTTTCCCAAGACAAAAGAATATAAAACAGCTAATGCATTTACAACTCACTGGAGGAGGCAGGATGAACTCTGCAGGCTGCATTATTTATTTACTGTTGAGACAGGGATATCACTCAATGAGACAGCAGTCTCCATTCCCCCCCTGGTCCCACTGCGGAGGCCTACAATCACAGCTTCTCCTCTATCACTATCTCTCTCTCTCCTCCACCAGCAGCATTTATTACCGCCCCACGCTACCGGGAGACACTACCGCTCCCTCCCTGAACTCCCTGCAGAGGAAGGGAGCTTCTGCTGGGCTGGATGGAAGCAGAAGATCCACCACTGGCATCAGCAGATATCAGGGGGCTTCTGCATAATGACAGCGTTCACACCTCAAGACAAAACTGCCCGTTTCCGATGGAACGGGTGCTCGAAATAGTGGAACCACAACTCAGACGCAATCAGTGTCAAGTAGTTGAGGATAGGGAAACATTTGACTATAAGGGTGCTTTCAAAGCAGCAATTACTACAAACATTGTAGTTGTAGTTGTAGACTGATGTGTTGAAGCGCAAAAAAAAAAGTAATTTAAATTAATTTCTAAATATGTATTTGGCCTAGATTGGATTTAAAAAGCCAGATTCATCCTGTTTTTTTTGTGCTCTAACCCTTAAAAAAAAAAAAAAAAAAAAAACGCAATTTGCGAAACTAACTTTTTTTGATAATTGCGACATTTCACGTAACTGCAACTTTTTCTCATTAAATGTAACTATTTCTTCAATTTTGACTATTTTGGACAACTGAGACTATTTTGCACAATTGTGACTAGTTTGAATGACAATTGCAACTTTCTTTTTATTGCCACTGCTACTTTAATAATTATAACCATTTCTCATAATGCGAATTTCTCATAATTGCAACTATATTTCTCATAATTGTAACATCTGCAACTATTTAAATTATTGCAAATGTATTTTGAACAATTTTGAACTGCAACTACTTCAACTTTATTTCTCGCAATTGCAATTTTTATGTAAATGCCACTTTATCTAACAATTCCGACTATTTCTCATAACTGCAACTTAATGTCTTTCAATTGCAACTTTGACACAATTGCGAATGTATTTCTTATTTTAAACTTTCTCTGACAATTCCGGGGTTTTTTTTACTCAGAAATGGGCTTCTATAAAAAAAAAACAGATCTGTGTCACATCTGTAAGGAGAAAAAAAAATCAGATTCGGGCCACATTCAGCTGCAGCGTGAACGTAGCCAATGTTACTAGGTGATGTGAACGTTAGAGTTGAATATTTAGATGGGAACAGTAAGACCAGAATGGGAGGGAGGGAGAAAAGAAAAGGGAGAGAGAGAAAGATGTTGTGAGTGGGAACTAAGCGGTGCACCGGATGAGCGAGTGAAAAGCATTTCTTCATTCTGTCAATACTGGGATGAAGGAGGGAGGGGGTGCGAGAGATTTGTGGCGAGAAATAGAGGGAGAAAGAAAAGGAGAGAAAGAGGCAGAAGGAAGGTAAGGGAGAGAAAGCATGAGAACTGAGATATATAGACAGGCAGGCAGACAGACCGACAGACGAAGATAGGAGAGAAAAGAGAGATATGGTGGGAGACAGACAGGAATAGAGAGTGAGAGAGAGACAGCAAACTCCCCCTTTCTCTCTCCAAGCTGGTGGGATTCCTCCCCAGGGGTTTCTGTCTTTAAACCTCCATGCTCTTTAAAAATTCTGCCAGCCAGCAGGTCTACACGGCGCTATGGAACTGTCTCCAGCAGGGGAGAAGTGTGTGATTGTGTGTGTGTGTCTGAGGAAAGAGAGAGAGAGACAGAGACTGGCAGAGCCACCATGCTGACGGCACAGAGATCCCAGTGACAGGTTCAAACCCAATCTCCCCACAGGTCAGTGTTCACTGTACCCCCAAACCCCAATTAAGTCCTGCTTTTTCTTTCTCCATATCCCTCTCTCTCTGGGTGTCAGAGAATGAGCCATAACACATGCAGCGCCCCGTGGTTATGATGACGAAAATGCTACTGGGTCCAAAATCAAATGCGTCTACTACTACAATTACTAAATTTTCTTCAGGAAACGTGAGCGCAGCTCGCCTGTGCAAAGCTCGCCATCACGATGCTAGGGTATTAGTGGTGGTTGCTATGCTGTTGCTAAGGTGTGGTTTCATAGCGTTACATGTTGGTTAGGGTGTTCTGGGTGGTTGCTAGGCGTTCGCTTACTGATATAACATTATGTAGCCACGCCCCTTTTTAACGCTGTGCTCGTTGTGTTCGGTCTTCCGGTTTGTATTCCCACAGCATGAAGGTAAGACCTTACAGATTTATGAATGAACTGCTCGTTTTAAAATCTTCCCGGTTTATGACATTTGTATGGCATCTGCTTCAAACAATACAATCTCTACAATAAGTAAATCCACTT